AGTGGTGAGTAGTAAGAAAACAGGAAGAAAAATAGTGAGAGTGAGAGTAGAATTGGGATGGCTTTCTTCAAGAATTGGAATTGGCTGAATTGACTCACAGCCATGGAGGCGGAGGCTGAAATGATTTGCCTTAAAACCCATAGATTTGCCCTAATGATATATCGTGTGCACACACACACACACACATATATATATATATATATATATATATATTACAAATTTATTTATATTTCAAAATATGAAAGGGCATGTTTGGTTTTAGATTTAATTATATTCAGGTTTAGGTTATTCCAATTTTATACAATTCGAGATTTATATTATCCTCCTGCCAAACAAACCCCATTTTATACAAATTTGGACAAAAAAGTCATTTTACATGGCCTGTATTTATAATCATTAATTTATTCAACTAAGTGAGGGTATTATCGTCATTTTACACCACCAGAGACCCAATCGCACCAAATTGATAGTATAGGGGTTTTTTTTATCACACAGGGACCGATATGCACTATATCGATAATAGAGGGGTTTTTTTGCACTTAACCCATAATAATAACATCACTATTAAATTGGTATATTGGAGGAAATCAATAATGAATGACTGTTTTTCTACCATACTTACAAACTCTACCATTTCTTCTTCGATCTTCGGGTTGAATCTTCTGGTATGTTGGGCACTTGTTCCCTGAAAACAATCTGAAATAAAACAGATAAAACACCTCCTCAAAAATCTCGTTGGAGCAAAGGTTTAGGTTGATGGTCTAATTGGGTTGATGGCTGATGGCTTCTATACATAAATGGTGCTGAGTGTCTTTATATACGCGTTAGGGTTTAATTAGTTTCCTAATACGAACACAAATAATGAGGTGTTGTATGTAATTATACCATAGTGATCCTAACAAGATGACTTAAAGATTAAGCTAAATTAAGTTTATGTTTGTTCAGATGCAAAATATTTTTTAATTTTAAAATCTTAAAATATTTATATATATATATATATAAACTTAATAAAAATAATTTACTCATCAATTTTTAATAAATTATTTTACATGTTCCGACCAAGAAATAAAAATCAATTTTTAACTAATTATTTTACAATTAGTTTTACTAGATTCAGATATATATATATATATATATATATATATATATATATATATACACACACACATACACACACTCTAGTTCAAAGTATGGACCCACACTTGTGGAACCGATCTGGTAATTAGAAAAAGGAAAGAATCACACACACACACACACACACACACATATATATATTGATCCAATCACTCTCGATCTCCTAGTATATCTATACTTTTGATCAGCTTGTCAAACCAAATCCAGCAAGGTACGTACAAGGGGAACATCTTGGAAATTAACCTTTTTGATGGTGGCTGAATAAGGCATATATGTTTGCCAAAGCTATAGAAGCATCTTTTACTACTTAAAGCCAGATTAAAAACCAGAAAACAAGTTTGGGAAACATATATCAAACTAATTTTTCCTTTGTGAGAATAAAAAAAATATATGTTTTCCATTCTCTATATGTTGTTTACCACTCAAAAGTAAAAATGTCAATTTGATTACCATCAAAAGTATAAATATGGTTTATCTAAGGGCATTTTGGCCTTTTGATATTTCAGCGTTACATAAAGTGTGAAATTGTTGGTTGCATCTTATATTTTTGTTATTTCCCAAACTTGAGTAAAAGCAAATTTCCATAATTTCGAATATATGGCTTGGACAACGATCATTCAAAGGAAAGTGCAGAGCAGGACATGAATGTTAAGTCACATAGTTGATTCATATCAATTCTACCATTTATGAAGGTAAAAAAGTAAAAAATATAAAATATTAATATACAAGTTTTTACATAAAGTTTTGGGTAAATTACACTAACACTCTTTGAGGTTTCGGTCAATGCCACTCAGCGGCTGGTCACCACATTTTTTTACATCGACGCCCCATATCATTTGAAATGTAATAAATGCCCCTGAATATTTAATTCGATTTTATTTTGAAAATATCAGTAATGTTAATTGACAAAAACACCCCCCGTAGTACCCTCACGTGACCAAAAATACACTTCACAGTCATCATATCCCTCAATGTTTTTACATCCAAACCTTCAACACCGCCACCACACCCGTGCCAACATATAATGTCACAGATTTTCCTGAATTTTTTTCGAATTTTTATTTTAAATATTTTTTGTGCCTCATTTTTCTAAATATATATATATATTATATTATATACACGTATATAATTTGGGCATTTGGGATGGGTGTTGTGGCGGCGGTGGTTGTGGTTTATTTAAATGTGCGTCCTGTTTGGTGGTGTTGTGGTTGTGGTGTATTTAAATGTGTGTTGTGTTTATTTACAGTACTTTTTGTATTTATGTTCACAAATTAAGTGGTTAAAAAGTAATTTCATATATTCTTAGAGGTCCAAAGGGGTGTCAATGTACATTTTTAAAACTTCAAGAATGACCATCCGTTGAGTGAATTGACCAAAACCTCAGTATCGTCAGTGTAATTTAACCTAAAGTTTTTTAGGCAGAGTGTCCTAAAAATTAAACTTTCTTAAAAAAAAAATTCACCCTTAAAAAGTCAATAATATATATATATATATATATATATATATATATATATATATATATTCCTACATTTGTCTCCCATTACCATTAAGAGCAGCAAGTGCAACACCATTTAATCTCAAAACGACCAACACCTACTGTCACACAAAGCCAAATAAAAGAACCGACAACAAATTCTCAATAACTTAAATAAATATCACGATATAAGCCAAAAATTAGCAAGCCAAACAACCCTATTAATGATCATAGATTCATACAGCTATCTTTTGCCAATTATTTCAGTAGTGTACTTGTCTTTAACCAATGTGATAGAATGATTGTAAATCAATCTCAACATTAATTTGCACATATAACATACCTCAAATTAAGCAGCAATAAATGAATGAATTAAATTGAATGTCGTTATTTATTACTTTCTTAATTTTGTAATTACAGTTTAATTGTACATTTATAATTAGACCACATCAACAATTGGTAAGGATGAATTATTCATTAGTGAGTAGGGAAGTCATGTTCATTATAATAATTTAAAACATAAAAGAAGTAAAATGTTATAAAACTTAAAGAACAATATTTGTCTATTCATCGATGAATAGGTGATTCCTTCTAGTAACTGATTTGGTCAAATTACAAATATATATGTTGTCTATAATTATAAAATTGAAAAAGTAATAAATAAAGAAAACATAAAAAGCGACTGAATTAATTCAGAAAAAATATATATATTTTTGTTATTTATTACTTTTTTTTGTTTTGATAATTACATGCAATATTTATATTTGTGATTGCAGCATACCAACTATAAGTAGAAATAACCTATTCATTGGAGTAGACAAATATTGTCCAAACCTAAATAGAGAGAGGAGCAAAGAGGATCCAATCCAAATGAATTGATATGGATATTCCTAACCTTGTTTAAACAATTTCTTTTTGTTTCCTTAATCCACGTGTATAGATGGTTAGTTATACTCAAAGTATGGGACCCACATGGACTGTTTGGGTAATTAGAGAAGAATGGAAGCAATGATTCATCTCCAATCACTCTTCACTCCTCCCTGTGCATCTCTACTTTTCAACCGCTTATCAAACCAAAGCCATCAAGTTTCCAATACTTGACTATTCTCTACAGTCAAGTATTAGAAACCACCACCTCCACCAATGGCGATCACCGCCCTCACAAACCTATCCACACTCTCTCTCCCCTTCCCATCACCAAACCACCACCACCACCACCACTCTGCTCCTCCCCTGAACCGCCGTATCATCAGTACCAACTTCACCACTCTCTCCATTTCCCATCTCAATCTTAATTCAATTCAAAACCGTCCTCGTCCGCCTCCTTTCAATCTTAATTCAATTAAAAACCAAAAAACAAGATTCGCAAGTTATAAATAAATTACTTGCTTTGTCAGGAAAAAAATAATCCCAAAAAAAATCATCTCTAGCTGATTATCTCTGTTAAATAAATTATGTTTTTGACAGGACAAAAATATAATAATAATAAATAAAGTTAAACTAAAGAAGTAAATAAGGTAAAAAAAAAAAAAAAAAAAAAAAAAAAAAAAAAAAAAGGGTTAAATTTATCTTGTCATTTTCTCTAACAGAATGAGTTAAGTAGAGTACAAGTATAGAAAAATAGAGCTCCCCTTTCTTTTTTTGAGATTATCAAAATTATGTTTCTATCCTTTGTTCTGGTCAGAAAGTACGAACATGGATATCTAAGGCCATTTTGACGTTTTGAAATTTCACCATTACATAAAGAGTGAAGTTGTTGGTTGCATCTTAAAAGGCATTAGAGTGTAATTTGTGTTACTTTCCGAACTCAAATATGTAAATTTTCATTACTAAGTATGGCAACGATAATATAGCTCAAAGGAAAGACCAGAGTAGGGATGCTTGAACGTTAACTCATATGGATTTAAATGAATATAGTTGAATCATATCAATTCTACAATTCATAGTGGTATTTGATAGAATCGTATGCGATGAAGTTGTGGAAGCGTGTCATTTTTCAGAGACAAAATTTAGGGCCACCTTTGACTCTCCTAAAAAGTATACTTTTTACAATATCAAAAAGTCCAACACAACACCAACTTTCACATAAAACCAAATAAAAGAACTTACTACAAATTCTCAAAAACTTGAATAAATTATAATTCAAGAACTTGATCGAATAAATATCATGATAAAGGCCAAAAATTTAGCAAGTCAAACAAACCTATTATTGTAGGATGACTCCATTATTAAACAAAGCTAGCATGATCAAACAGATGAATTATATATATGTTGAAGAATCAAGTACGTATATACATCAGTAACATGATAAAAAAAAAATCAATTCAATCCATAACCCAAGAAAATTGTGATTGGAACACTTAATGCAACTGCACACCCTTTAGTTCTTCGTCTATGAAAAGAGATAATTGATCAACTTTGCCTCGTCCCAGTTCTTGAAGGGATCGCATACACGGTGTTGAACAACTCTAGAAGCCTTTTTCAAAGATGGAAGTGGCTCGTCTTCAACCATAAATGGATGGTTTAAGAGCATTTTAGCAGTCCATCTCTGGTTTGGATCCTTCACTAAACACTTTTTCAAGAAGTTCTTCGCGTTCTCAGAGAATCCTTCTGGTATGTGAGGCACTTCTTCCCCAAAACCAATCTGAAATAGCAGATCATACACATTCTCAAAACTCCATGCCGGTTTTCCACTAAACATCTCCACCATAACGCAGCCGAGAGACCATATATCCATTGGTGCTTCATTCAATCCTAATTTAACAGACTCGGGAGATGTGTATAGAGGGGTACATCGAAATTTACCAAACACATAACCACCCACAAATATATGACCAGCCTTCTTGGAGTTTCCAAAATCAGCAATCTTAACCTGATTCTCGACACCACATGATGAAAATGAAGGAAAGACAAGGATATTAGCGGGCTTGATATCGCAGTGAACATAGCCTTTGTCATGAATGTAACAGAGCCCTTTTAGTATCATCCGACTGTAAACCTTCACTTCTGCTTCTGATAACTTGCCACCTCGATTGTTGATCAAGTCGGCCAAGGTACCTCTTGGTGCATATTCAAGGAGAAGATCGTAATATTTCTCGCCTTGTATAATGGTCTCTTGAAATCCATAACAAGCAACAATCTCACGACAACCTTCAAGAATGTCGAGGATGGCTTTCTCTCTGTGGAGAGATAATGATTCAGAGAAAACACTGGATTTCACAGCCATATCTGGGAGGAGACGGAAGGGACTCCTTGCTAAGTAGACTTTGGCGTTGCTTCCGCTCCCAAGGAGTTCGCTGATCACCCAGTCGGAAGCCATAGACAAGGAAAAGCTTGATAAACGAAAAGTTAAGGGAAAGGTTTAGGTTCATATGGTCCTATACATAAATGGCGCGAGTGTCCTAATATAGGGCCGGTTTAATTAGTTTCCTAATAGGATTACCAACACAAATAACGAGGTACTAGATGATCGACTTAAAGATTAAGCTACCTTAAGACTATGTTTGTTTGGATGCAAAATATTTTTAAATTTTTAAATTTTTTGATATTTTATTATTGCAAAATATTTAAAAAGAAAAAAAATATATTCAAACCTAACAAAAATAATTTACCTATTAATTTTTTACAAATTATTTTACACACCTTGTCTAGAAAATAAAAATAAAAATTTTACCTGAAAAATAAAAATATATTATGTCGGAAACAAACAGACCCTAATTGTCCACACATTTCTTTTAAACCTAATTGTCACAATTAGTTTTACTAGATTCAGATATATGTATACCCACACTCTACTTCAAAGTATGGACCCACCCTTGTGGAACCGATCTGGTAATTAGAAAAAGGAAAGAATCACACGACACACACACACACACAACTTGTTTTCTGGTTTTTAACCTAGACATGCCTTGTTCAGCCTGTGTGTGTGTGTGTGTGTGTGTGTGTGTGTGTGAATCCAATCACTGTCGATCTCCTGGTATATCTTCTCTACTTTTGATCAGCTTTTCAAACCAAATCCAGCAACGTACGTACAAGGGAAACATCTTGGAAATTAACCTTTTGATCGTGGCTGAACAAGGCATGTCTAGGTTAAAAACCAGAAAACAAGTTTGGGAAACATATATCGAACTAATTTTTCCTTTGTGAGAATATCAAAATTATGTTTCCTATTTGATCTCTATCTGTTGTTTTCCACTCAAAAAGTATAAATATGGTTTATCTAAGGGCATTTTGGCCTTTTTTAATTTCAGCTTTACATAAAGTGTGAAATTGTTGGTTGCATCTTATATATTTTTTTTTGTTAGAGTAATGCTGTTACGAAGTCTCTCATGAGATTTCTCATGAACTCTTTTTTCTTTTTCTTTTTCATGATTATGTATAAATATTGAGGTAGGAACTTAACTACTTGAAAGAGGACTAAACGAGAATTATATAGTTAAAATTTCATTAAAAAATTCATTGACAATAAATCACACGAATCGGTCAAAGTTAATAATGTAATTTAGACATAAAAAAGAGTGTAAATTTTTATATACTAGTGTGATCTACTGTTCATGAATTTTTGAACAAAATTTTAACTATATAATTTTCATTTAATCAATGGGTCAAGTGCAGAAAACACCCCCAAAAAGTATGTTTACAGTGCATATGACACCCCTCACGTGTAAAAAATACCCATAAAGTTTCAATTGTATGTAAATAAGTCCCTCTGACAAATTTAAACCCTAAGTTGACTAAACTATCCTCACTGAATCATTTTATAAAATATATAAAAATAAATAATTTTATAAAATGACAGAAAATGACACAATTGAAAGATGTCATTCACGTGCAAAATATTAGGTGTGCATATATATATATATATATATATATATATATATATATTGGGCATTTGGGATGGGTGTTGTGGTGGCTATGTTTATGGTGTATTTAAATGTGCGTTTGATATGGTGTTGTGGTGGTAGTTGTGGTGTCTGATTTTACGAGTGGTTGTTGACAAGTTAAAAGGAAAGCTGGTCATTTCACGTGTTTGCTTACACTTTTTGTATAACAATTAAGTTAAAGGGTTAAAAATAATTTCATATAGTCTCAGGGTTCTGGAGACCGTGTCAACGTAAAAAAGGTCGTTGACCGGGCTGCTAGCTCCAGCTCTTGCCCTAAATGAGAAGAAGCCGGCTAAGGCCAAAGTTTCAGATGCCATCGGTATAAGGAGAAAAGGAAGTCAATCCTTTGTCAATCATTGGTTCAAATGCATTAACCGAATCAGAGAGTCGAGTCAAAGTCTTAAAAACTCCGTGTTAGGCAGACTGTCTTAAAAAGTAAACTTGCTTATAAGGTTCAATCTGCACTCCTTAAAATTTTCTTACAACGTTCAATATGCACTCTTTAAATTTTTTTTCACCCCTTAAAATTCAATATTTTATATATATATATATATATATTCCTATATTTGTCTCCCATTACTATTAAGAGCTACAACAACACTATTAATCTCAAAACGACCAACACTATTAATCTCAAAACGACCAACACCCACTTTAACACAATTAAAAATTAGCAAGCCAAACAAGCCTATTAAAGTAATGATCATAGATTCATACAACTATCTTTTGCAAATTATTTCACTAGTGTAAACCAAGTACAGTTTATTTATCACTTTTTTTAATTTTATAATTACAGTTTATTTATGCATTTGTAATTATACCATAATAGCATTGGTGAGTAAGAATGACATATTCACTAATAGGCAAGTCTTATCCATTATAATAATTTAAAACACAAAAGAAGTAAAATTTTATAAAAGTTAAAAAGTAATAAATAAATAAAACATAAAGGGCGACTGAATTAATTCAAAAAAAAATTATTTTTTGTTATTTATTATTTTCTTGATTTTATAATTACATGCAATATGTGTATTTGTAATTGCACTATATTAACTATTACTAGAAATAACCTATTTGTACATCGTAACATAAATTCATAATATAATGTACCTGCATATAAGTCTATGTTTACGAGTATATGTATAGAGAGAGAGAAAAAGAACGATATTTTTTAAATGAAATTAATATACAAATATAAAATATAAAGATTAAGAAAACAATTTAAAAGAAAAAAATAGAAAACATAGAATTATATGAGAGAGAGAAAATTTAAGGGAAACTATTCATATTTTCATAAAAATATATATATTGTTATAAAAATATATATATATATATAATAATAAGAGGGGGAAAAAATTCACGGAGGCACGTGTCCCGAGGATCCAATCCAAATGGGTTGATAGCAAAATATGAATCTTCCTAACCTTGTTTAAACAGTTTCTTTTGTTTCCTTAATCCAAGTGTAAAGACGGTTAGTTATACTCAAAAGTATGGGACCCACATGGACTGTTTGGGTAATTAGAGAATGGAAAGCAATCATTCATCTCCAATCACTCTTCATTCCTCCATGTGCATCTCTACTTTTCAACCGCTTATCAAACCAAAGCCACCAAGTTTCCAAAACCTGACTATTCTCTACAGTCAAGTATTGGAAACCACCACCTCCACCAATGGCGATCACCGCCCTCACAAACCTATCCGCACTCTCTCTCCCCTTCCCATCACCAAACCACCACCACAACTCTGCTCCTCCCCTGAACCGCCGTATCATCAGTACCAACTTCACCACTCTATCCATTTCCCCTCTCAGTCTCAATCTCAATCTCAATTCAATTCGAAACCGTCCCCATCCGCCTTCTTTCATCGTCTATTCCGGAGGGAGTGGCGGAACCACCGGAAATGGAAGCAACAATGGCGGTGGAGGTGGGGGTGTGGGTGGGGGTGGGGGTGGGAGTGAGGAGGGAGATGCTGGAGAGAGGAATAAGGCGGAGGTGGTCCTGGCGTTAGCGGAGGTCGGGAGATCTATGGATAGCCTTCCGAAAGATTTGGCGGCGGCAATTGAGGCCGGGAGGATACCGGGATCGATAGTGTACCGGTACTTTGAGCTGGAGAAGTCGCCGGTGTTCCGGTGGTTGCTTCAATTTGGAGGGTTTAAGGAACGGCTGCTTGCAGATGATCTCTTCTTGGCCAAAGTTGCCATGGAATGTGGTGTTGGGATCTTTACTAAGGTTTGTGCTCTGTTTTTGCTTTTGTTAATCTTTTTTTAAAATTCAATTATTGCTTTTTTTTACTGAATTTTGTACTTAGAATCTGTAGTGATTTATGTGGTTATTTAATAGTAGTTTTGAAATTAATTGGCTTGTGGATTTAGATTCTGATTGAACAAATAATTCAAATTGAGAAAAAAAAAAAATTCAGATAAAATTTGAAGCCTATATATATTTGTAATATTTGGACTAATAGAGTAAACTTGACACTAAATTTTAAATTGGCTTTCCAATAATTATTGATTCAATTAAGAAGTTGTGAAATTTAAACAGCTAGATTACAATTGTCCACATAAGGTCTAAAGTTTAAGCAATTAGGAAAACTGCATTGAACTTTGAAATTATCTACTAATTAGAGACAAGTTCTGCTTACAAAAAGAGTGGGGGAATTGACAGCCAAAACTTCACAGAAAGGGCATTTTGATGTTAATGGGACGAGATTGATCGTTCTGCATCAGTTAGTATGATTTCTTATTTATAAATTTATTTTAACGACTTTTAAGGTGTATTTCTTACCCTCGCTCTAACACACTGATCTGCTTTTCTGGTTGCCAAAATTGTGTTTCATTAGATTGCTGAAATTTTTTCTTTATATTTGAAATCATTTTCATCGACTTTTCTGAATTTTTCATTGAGATTTCTGAGCTGTTCTTAATGACATAAGTATTTGTTACTCAATACACATAAATAATATATGTTCAGTTCACTTTGTAGACTGCTGCAGAGTTGGAAAGGCGTAGAGAAAACTTCACCAAGGAGCTGGATTTTGTCTTTGCTGATGTGGTAGGGCTGTTGTCATTAGTATTTTTCATATCTTATTACTCGTTTTGTAAAGTTTGAGTTGGATGTTGAGATATAGACACAATTTTTATTGTGATAATAAACTAGTTTCTTTATACTTAAACAGAAAGGCTTAACACAGTATATTTTTATATATTTTGCACAATTGTATAGGCTAACAATATCTCTGCTACAGAAATCAGACTCTTCATAAACGGGAGAACTAAGTTTCGAGGGGAAAAAAAATAAAAATAAAAATAAAAATCCCTAAGTAAAGCTAGTGTTCCTGAACTTGATGCATCGGCCTTTGGGGGACTAAGATTAACCCTCTTCAAGAGGCAATTAGGCGAGCAATCAGAAACCAAACAGAGCTAGACTTGGTGTTGATCTAAGTCATTTTTGTATCGGTCCATAGAGTTCATTGACCTTTTATCTTTTCCAAATGATAGTCTCGAGGTTTATGTTTAGACTATTGACTACCATTCCCAATGTTCTCAAATTTCAACAGTTTATTAGGAGTTTCATAAAATTATTTGGACTCAATAGATAAAATGCACTTTGTGTTAGGGATATTACTTTTTCCTGTTTTTGAGTTAAACTAAATATAAAATGTGGTTGAGATCATGAGAAAAGTATTACGATCTATTTAATAACAGTTCCTAGGAATTGGGCAAATTTGCAAAAATGATTCGTATAGCCAATTCAAATTGTTGGGAAATAAGGCTTTGTCAAGTTAACTGGAGTTGATCTAGTTGAGTTAGAAATATTTGAGATCATCACACCATATATGCAATTTGCAACATTAGACGAGAAACACATTTTTATCTTTTTTGGGTACTATTTTTTCCTTTGATCAAAAGATTTTAACATTGCCTTTTCTGGTGGTTAACTATTAGTAACTCTAGTGGTTAACTATTAGTAACTCTAATACTTAAAGGACATAGTTTTCTAATTGTTTTTATTTTAGGTAATGGCCATCATTGCAGATTTCATGCTTGTCTGGCTTCCTGCTCCTACTGTTTCACTGCGACCGCCTCTTGCAATTAGTGCTGGACCTATTGCTAAGTTCTTCTACAGATGTCCTGACAATGCATTTCAGGTTGCTGCATACATTGCTATGTTCTACTGTTTCAGGTTCCTAGATTGGCATTTAAAGTGATCTAAAGCTGCGTACGGTCAAGTAAACAAGTTTTTTTATCCTGTATGCAGGTTGCTTTAGCTGGTACATCCTATTCATTTTTGCAGAGAATAGGTGCCATACTGGTATGGTTCGAGTTTTTCTTCAATAAATTCAAATGTCCGTTTTGCAGCAAATAAATGGAACTTACATTATACTGATATGTTCTGCAGCGTAATGGGGCCAAGTTATTTGCAGTTGGGACCAGTGCTTCTTTGGTAAGTTAGTGCTTCATATGCTTAGAAGTTCTTCAATTTAGCTTTGAACTTCTGTAGTTCTAATCCTCTGAGAAGTTTACTATCACTATCGGACTTTCTACTATGTTCTATCGTTGACTGGTAAGGAAGTTTGGTTTTTATCCTTTCTTTGCAACATCAGCTTATTTTTAAACACAAGAAAATGGTCTTGTTTGTTTCTCTGCTAAATATATCATAAATAAATAATTTAGTTATTAACATTATTTTTGTTCATCGGCCATGTTTCCATTCACCTTTTCACGTGCCTTCTTTCTTACAATAAAGGCCTGAGCATGAGTGAGATGTCCCGTAATGTATAAAATTCATTTGGCACATATCTTGGTTCAACAGTGACGAAAATAACTGTTTTAAAGGTTCAACATGGAGATCATCTTGCACTGAAAGGGGCTAATTGAGCAATTTGTTCATATGGATTTTGCGGTTGTTATATATCATAGAAGCTTTGTGTCTTGACTGTTTAGCTTAGTCGAGTTTTTAATTTTGAAATTCACTTTTAATAATGTTGATGGAGATCAGTTATTTTCCCTGTATGAGTTTGTGTGCATATTTAGCTTTGACTAGTTCAATTGTATTGCATATCTTTCAATCGGATTTTAAGTGGTACGCATACAGGATAATGTAGTATCTTGAAATTCTATCTGTCGAGTTGTTATTGTTATAAAGTCGATAGCAATATTATAGATTTGGTGGCATATGCTTATAGCAGCTCTTTGCAGGTTGGTACAGGTATTACAAATTTGTTGATTAACGCGCGAAAGGCCATTGATAAATCCTTCGCTGCTGAAGCCGAGGATGTGCCCTTATTGTCAACCAGTGTTGCCTACGGTGTCTATATGGCGGTTTCTAGCAACCTTAGGTATGTAAATCCTATGAGAATCTGTTTGGTTTAGCATTTAGCTTCTTCAGATTTTACATCATCATCTTCATGAGACAGGATTACTACTTGGGCTTGTCTTTTTGGACTTGCTCTCTCAAACAATAAAACAAACAAAATAAATAATATTTCAATGTTTAAAAAAGAAAAGAAAATGGGAAAATTTTTGTTGCCTTTTGATAGAATGGAAGTACTAAACTACCATAGCACTGCATGACCTGTAGAGTGGGAGAGGATTAGTTATAAATTGCTATTGTCCGTGCACTTGGGAGTTCACAAAGTTTATATAATGATGAATTCTGTGTTGAACAGATACCAAGTACTGGCGGGAGTTATCGAACAACGAATATTAGAACCATTGCTGCACCAACACAAGATCGTACTGAGTGCAATATGCTTTGCTGTTCGAACTGGGAACACGTTCCTAGGCTCATTGATGTAAGAGTTAATTTTATGTCTTTTTAATTCTCACCATAACCACTACTAGTTCATATCTTCTTGCTCTCTCAATTCTCGAAATTTATGTTGCACAGGTGGGTGGATTATGCCCGTTGGGTAGGAGTCCAAAAGATCCGCGATTGAAAACACAGTCGACAAGTATGTTGTTGATGTTGTTTCTATAGACAAGTACAAATGTTGATATGTTTTTTCTCTGAATTGAATGTAAATGATTTGTAAATTTGGATGTTTCGTGGCTCTTTAGTTGTTGGTGGGGTATTAAGCGAAAATAGAGTCTGAAATTCATTAAAATGGAGTAATAAGCATGTGAAAGTTCTTTAGTCTTCTTTTAAATGCTTGGTTTGTAACTCTGAAAACGGTTCTCAAAAATTCAAAAACAGAAAACAGTTTTCAGAGAACTATTAAAATAAGTCTTTTTATAACTTAGTTTTTAGAAAACAATTTTTAGAAACTGAACCAAGCAAAAGTTTTTTGTACAGTTTTTTATTTTCAATTTTTTGAGAACAAAAAACTATTATCAGAATTACAAACCAAGCAAGGTCGACGTCATTTTTACTTAGACCGCTCTCGGGATCCTCTCCTTGCAGAAGTGATAAAGCTGCATTATTGTTTTAATCTAATTGAACATCTTTTAACATCATACATAGATCATAGTTACCATTTGGCATATGATCGGTATGTTGGAGTACATTTGGTTGCGTCTGTATTGGTATATGAAGAGGGTAAATGCTGTTTAACGGACGTGGGTTCATGCAAAGGTTTAAAAAAAAAAAGAAGAAAACTGTAATTTTGTAGTTCAAAAAATTGAGCATGGGACGTTTTAAAAATATATAATAAAATTTGTTTGACCATTATTTATACAACAATGAAGTGCAATAGATGATAGCAACCTAAAAGGCAAATATTCAACCATAAAGCGAAACCCAAATAAAGATACAAGAACCGATTGTAGGTAAGTACCACAGCAATAACACTCACTCAAGAATATCAGGTAAGCAGCCAAATCTTGACATGCCAACATCATTAATATCATTACTCATTACCTACAACTTCATTTGGCATTCGACAGATTGAATCTTGGAGTGGTCTTCCTCTTGAGAAGAATCGCGTGCTTCCTGTCATAACATCCGTTGCAGGACATCTCAATGCGGCCAAGTATGCACTACCAAAGCACCCAACTTCAATACCAAACAGATGATTTGATCCACAATGGCCATACAACCATGACCAAACCAAAATAGCAATGGATCACATTTCTTATGGTGTTTTATCCACTATTCTGTCCTTCATCTCAGTTCCAAACATATATATATATATATATATATATGTGCACAATATTATATTTTCTATACACATATATCACGGAGCCCAGGTATCAATTCAATGTCAATAAAAAAGGAATTAAATGACGAAATGAATCCGTGCATAGATAATACAGGAGAAAGATTCATCAAGGAGTGGTGGGATAATGCGTCCTAAGTTACATAAAAAACGCAAAAGTTGCTTTAACTTAGCAGGTCAGAAAGTTACAGGGGGTTAGGGCGTTAGGAAGTTAAAGTAACCCAATAGAATATATGATTTCACTAAGTTCTAAAACCAAAGAAACACGATTTTAATGAATAAACCATCTTCATTGGGTTGTGACACTCTTTGCCAGATTGCGAGGCTGATCGACATTGTGACCCCGTAGAACAGTGAGATGATAAGCCAACAACTGCACCCAAAGGCAAAAATGATGATGACGGAAAATGTTAGAAAGACAATAGTGGCATCAGCTTAATGGTTGAAAAGATAGAGGTACGTGCAAGAAAACTAAAATTAAGTCAGTCAATGGGTCGCATCCCAAAAATTCTAAAGTTAATGTTCCTCATCTTCTCAGCATTCAAAGCAGAGCATAAAGAATTATATCCAAAAATGGTGAGTGGATTAAAGGGAAAAAAAATTGACAACATATTTAACTCAAACTGTTCTGAATACATATGCACTTTAAGTGTATAATTTGATGGAAAGCATACAAAGAAATAAAGCATATATGCATTTTAAGAGTATAATTTGATAGGAAACATACAAAGAAGCAAAAAAGTATATATGCATCAGGGGAAAAAAATTTGTGGATGTATTGAAACAGGAAAATCACATTTAACTAGAACAGTTCTTATCTCTAAAGTCCAGTACTTATGGCACAGATTTCTAATGACACCAGAAAAAGCTATGTCCAGTAATTTTGCTTCCAGCAAGTCCTAATAGGTTTTCCACAACAAACGGATCTCTCCTTGTATATATATACACACACACACATATGAGTCTTTACAATTAAAATGTGACTGCAAATATATATAACCACACACGCTTATAGATATGGTCTCTGACTGCTTGTGTGTATATATATATAATTTGTTTGAATTTATGACCTATGGTGAATATGGATCTGTGTGTGTGTGCGCAAGTGTGTATAGATGAGCTCAAAAGGAGCTGAGCAATCCCAAGATTTGCTAAATGATCGCAAGTCAAGCCCAAGGTTAGCTAGACCGAGCTCGTTTAAACACAAGCCAAGCCTAAATGGACCTCTGGTTTGGCAAGCGAAGCACAACAAAACCTGGGCTTGGCTCTGTTTATTTGCACCACACCACTACCTACATACGTTACAATATGAAACTACTGCACAACATTAGTATTTCCTATATAGAACATCTAAAAATTAAGATCCAAAGTTTTAACATGGACGATTAAAATTGGCCAAATATTCACTCACCATTACAATTATGAAAGATACATCAGTTTAAAATGATGTGATTCAAATACCTGCAATGGAACTATGTTAATCACAGGCTGAAGAGTGTCCTCAACCTGAGGAACTTCAATTACTCGGCCAGAACCACCAACACAAACAGATGCTGCATCTCCTTTTGAACACATCACTATCAGCCGACCTTTGCGAGCATGAAGTTGCTGAATAACTGATTGTTGCTTGCTGCCCACAAATAATAGATGTCAGTAGAGAACATTAAGAATTTCCAATGGTGTAAAAGTTTGTTACTGTAACAAAACGAACCTGAAGCAAGCATCACGGGTAGCAATAACAACAATTGGGAGATTTTCATCGACTAGAGCCAGTGGACCATGTTTCATTTCGCCTGCAAGTATTCCTTCACTATGCATAAGTGCCACCTCCTTTACTTTCAAAGCACCCTCAAGTGCTGTTGCATAGTTATATCCTCTTCCAAACACAAGAAGTGACTGCTCAGCAATCAATAGTTTTGCAAGATCCTTCATTTCCTGGTCAAGCTTCAGCACTTCTCTGACTTTGTCTGCAAGAAATAAAGAAATATATATATAATAAACACAGCCACATGTATCTATACAGGAGAATTCTTAAAGAATATGCCTGTCGGAATTTAGATATAAAAACTGTGAATCCCACAATATTGAGGGAAGAAAACAACTTAAACATACTTGGCAAGTCAAATAGGCCATCTATTATAGCCTCTCTTCTTGCTTGACTAGAAAGTGCGTCACCTCCAATGGCTAGCGCCAACATAGCCATCACTACTATTTGACTCGTGTAAGCCTGTTAATCACAGTAACAACATGATAAATCCAATAACAGTGAGAAACATAGAAGATTTTAAAAAGAAACTCATTTACCTTGGTACTGGCCACACCTATCTCGCAGCCAGCATTGATGTGCACACCACAGTGTGTATTCCTAGCAATTGCACTACCAACAGTATTTGTAATTCCAACACATAAAGCGCCATTTTCTAAAGCATACTCCAGTGCATTTAAAGTATCTGCAGTTTCACCAGATTGACTAACAAAAACAGCTGTATCTTCTCTGTATATTGGTCCCTGCCTATCCAACAGATCACTTGCGACCTCCAGTGTAACAGGAATACCTATGTATTACATAATAAAACAGTAAAATAATCAGTATCAAATTTCAACATCTGAAGAACACGACCGCCAAGAAGTACTAACCAGAAAGTTCTTCCATTATGGGTCTTGCAGCTAAAGCAGCATTGTAGCTCGTGCCACAACCAACAAAGACAATTCTTCTGCTTCTCTTTATTGTTTTGAGGTGATCCTTCAGTCCACCTAGAAGAACGGTCTTGGCTTTGCAGGAACCTCCACGTATAAGCCTACCCCGCATTGTTGTCGTTAGTGATTCTGGTTGTTCATGAATTTCCTTCTGCATATAATGCTCATAGTTTCCTTTATTTATTTGTTCAACCTCCATCTCAAGAATGGATAAAGCACGTTGCACTGAAGCAGGCCTAGCAAGAGCACCACTATGATTTCCCTTGCCATGATCAAACCTGAGGATTGATGCGCCTCCATCCTAAAGTAACCAATATCAAAAGTAAATATGGTTTTATGTTTGCACATAAATAACATCAATACAAGTTTCAGAAGCAGTTAAACAATGTATTAGGTAAGGAAATCAGTACCAATCAATGATAACCATGATACCACTACACAGGGAGTAAGCACACTCTTAGCTCAACATCATAAATGAGTTTAAAAGCAATATGGAAGAGTATCTGTAAGATGGAACCAATGAAGATGAAGCAGCTTGATTACGAAAAAATTCTCACAAGGAAATTTGGCAAAACTGTCTTGGATTCACGGACCGTTCATTATTGACTAATTTCTCACTTCTTATTAATCATGCAGTTAAAGTTACAAAATTTTAGCAGAAAGATGGAGGTACCAAACCATACATCTAAAATTTGGCAGGAAGCTATTTGTTTCTTTGCTGCTAATAAAAGAAATAAATCTCTGTTTGATGCTTAAAAGCTTAAAAATTTTCTTGGAATTGTAATTGATTTTGATGCAACCCCATATGAGTCTTCTCAATGCAGGATTAATTTCCATGTACAGTTCTTCCTAAAATCTGTTCGTACAGAATCTTAAATGATGCACAGACAGGTCCCCAAGTTTATGTAGAAAAAAATTTAGTGTAAGAAGCTTTGCCTTAACCGGAAATGTATCATAATTTGAAAGACATTTTACATATAAACCCGAAGGGAAGAGAGTCCTAACCGCCTATAATCAAAATTTTAATTTTTCATAGCACTCGTAAACTTACTTTAAGTTGTTCCACATCACAGGAGGCCAAATTTGAATATGGCTTTGGATAGAGATATTCCGTTGAAATCAAGCCTTAGTTGATTTAATTTGAGTTCAATTGTATGAAGTACTTACTTTAAAAAAAAAAAAAAAAAAAAAAAAAAAAAAAAAAAAAAAAAAAAAAAAATTTATATGAATTGATTTAAGATTTAAAGCTTAAACACCTATTTAAGACATTAATGGATTATAATAGGGTTAGTTCAGGTTGTGTAAAGGCTTGAGCTGGTCCTCATGAATTTACGACTGCAACAACGATTTGAATGTTCCAACCACCTGCTGGCTGTATAATAACTACTAATGCAACAAGAATATGTGCATGCAGTGGCATAAATATAAGCAAAATACTAATGCATCAAATACCAGCAAGGAAAGGGGCAAATATGAAATTCAAATGAAATGCACGTAGGACGTCGTCTAATCAGGTTTCAAATTTTATTTGTCTTATATTACATTTACTTTAGGTTTGTTTTTCACCGTCATAATTGTATTTATAAATAAGGTATTTTTTTAATTTCAGATTTGATGCCTATGGGCTTTAATAGTGGTCCATGGGTCTAACATTATGTCAAGTTATTTATCAAGTAGTTATATGTTATCTTAAAGGTCAAAATGTCCATGTTTCTTTTTAGGAGAAGTCTAACATTCTACAAATATCTTTTAATCTTTCTATGCAATGGACTGAATTTTCTGAAAATCCAAGATTAGGTAATTTGGGATGCAACACAGCCTTAGGGAATGAGCCCTGAGGAAATCTAAGGTGAAATTCCTGAAATTATTCTTTGTCGTCTTCTTATTATAGTTTATTTGTTCTGTTTTTTAAAGTTATAAGAAAGCTACTTTGGTAGGCCAGTCCTTCCTTTCATCAAGACTTCACCCAAACAACCAAAAGCCACAAAAAACAACCAAGTTAACATTCATAGTTGCTGTAAAAGAATACTTGTGGCTGTCAGCAATCTCAGAAGATAACATGAAAGATATCAAATCTATTATTCAAAGGCACACAGCAAGACGAAGGATTTGTAAGTTGAAGGTGATTGCAGAGAGAGAGAGAGAGAAGAGGCAAAGAATAAAGAAAAAAGAAAAGGGAAACAAACACAAATACCTTAAGATGAACAACTTCACCATCCTCAATTACCAAAACCTTTTTTGTGTGTTCAACTACAGCATTAGCATCGCTGGATAGGAAGAATTCTCTGGGTTGCCCATTCTTTGAAAGGAATTTGTCATCATGAAATGATGCTCCATTGTTCACATCATCTGTTAATTCCTGAAACAACGACAACTCAATTATGTCAAAACCAGAGTAGTATACAATAGAGAAAAGAGCACAATCCTGTGTTCATCAAGAACAGTGCAATTATTAACAGTCCACTCATGCTTACACAAAGGCATTCAATGACAGCACAGAACAGTAGTCAAGAAAGATCATGTGCAATATTTAAATAATAATAGATGAATCAGAATGAATACAAAAGTTCCAATATGTGCATGGAGTAGATAACTTCAACTAAATGATGCCTAAGCTGGTAACATATCCTTTTTCACCTTGCAATGAACCAAAATAAGCCACATGCAATGCAAGACTACATCGTGGTGTTGATTTTTCAAGAAGCTGTGGTGTTGTGAATTGTGATGGTGAGAGTCTATGAAATATGGATACAGATACAACAAATTCTTAAATTATAGAAACAGATATGCAAGGACAGGACAATATATATATATGTGTGTGTGTGTGTATAAAAATCAATATATGTGTATCTATGAAAAATTTTAAATAATAATTGTTTATGTTATATGTATTGTTATTAACATATCTTTTCTTTTTTTTTCACAAGTATTGTTGTTAACATTTCTTTATAAAATATTATGATTACCAAACAAAACAAGAGTTGAGAGTTATATTGTATGGATAAATTAAGTTCTCTTTTCGAATAAATGTTAAAACTTTTCTTAACAATTATACAATGATATTATTGTTTGAAAAGTTACATTCTAATTCTCAAAACTTGCTAAATATGTATCTGAGAAGTATCCGTACGTGGTTGAAATTTTAAAATATATTTCAAAATTATAATACGTAGAGGAATCGAACACTCATCCATGAGTATCTGAGAAATATTGGTGTCCGACACGGACACAACATGGGTACGTCACTCTTGTAGAAGTATAGGTGCTTCCTAGGTGGCAGTTGGTGGTGCGGCAGCTACTGGCTTAAAAATAAAAATCGAATAAACTACCATAAAAAATGCTATGTAAATTAAAAACTTTCCATCGACTTTTAGGATCAAGAGAGGAGGGGAACAGATGAAAAAGGAGAATTAAAAGCAAGTAGAAAAAAGTTTCTGACAAAGATGCAATTTGGCATAAATAAGACTAGCAGCAATTAGGCCCACAAATTACCACAAACAAGACAAACAACAACTCTTCTCACCATATGTTCTAGGCCAAGCAAATTAGAAGCTTTCTTAAATACATACATATATATATATATATATATATATATATATATATATATATATTCAGCACCAAACTTGCTGCAGGATATACACACTTTGTTCAAGTGGCACATGAGGAAAAATCACTTAACATACTGATGCAGGAGCACCAAAGAATGATTGAAAAGATTTTGCAAGTCCGCCGCCCATCAAAATAGCCACAATTGATTTATTTCATGGCAATCTATCATTATGAACCGTCACTAAGGTCCCAGTTTTAACTGGAGTCATGTTCTGCACGTGTCTTTTGCAACACAGACCCTTTGCATCTCCACAATGACAATTTGCAGGAATAAGGAGTCTCTTGGGTCACATTAAAATAATATTATCTTTTTTAATTTCCTAGTTGGTACTCACACACACATGCCTCCACCGAGGTTCGAACCCCATACCTCCTTTGGGAAGTAGGGGCCTGGTACCGCTAGGCCACTGGCCCGTTGCTCACAGTTATTTCGTTAAAATCACAATGAGATTCACGAAGTTCAAGGATTTCTTGAAAATAGAGTAACAACTTAAAAAAATATTTACCTATTCTTATGAAAATAATAAAAATAAACAAGGCACATTTATCATCTGCGTATGTATCAAGATCATGATGTCTAATGGAAAACCAAAACTGTTATAAGCTTAATTTCGGGAAAGAGTATATTACTGTTACCCACAAATAACTTACTTTAACACCAAGGAGCAATGGACTTCCACGTTTGCAAGCAATCAATTCATTTGGATAATGGCAGCTTTTAAAAATGAGAGCATAGGCTCCTTCAAGATGTCTCATAACTTCAAGCACAACTTGAACAAATGTGACAGAATGATCCTCTGCAACACAAACAGTTAATAGCAGTTGTGTAAAATGTTAGATAACGGTCAAAGACATTAATGAAAAATGGAAATGGCATTGCCCAAAATAAATCTAATTTACATTTTAATAAATAAACACTTCAGGATAGCCAGCACTAGCAAAAGCAATGGAAAAGACACAGGACACATCAAGGCAGCCAAGCTTTACACTAGAAATGTTAGGAAATCAATAATTACCAAAAAAAAAAAATTTAATAAATGTATGGAAATCAACAGACAAAGTAATTATTATATAATAATCAACCTGGCTGAAATGAGAGTGCTAATATCAATAAGATGCAACATGAAATATATAGATGCATCAATTGATATAGTTGAGGAAAAGAAAGTTGCATAGCCAACTCTAATTCATTGGGATTTAAAGCAATGTCAACTTAAGCAGGGAACATAAAACTAGTGTTTGACCAAAATCTATCATTTCAGCGTTCCATTTGTTCAACCAAAAATGGAAATTTCTTCCTCTTCGATTTCTTCTTCATTTTTTATTTTTAATAAAAATCCTCTTTTTGAAAAAACTCGAGTGAAGCTTTTAAGTAGTTGTTCCTTTTTTTCAGAGTGTTATAAGATCTTTCTAATTTCAAATGTTTATTGATGAAAATTCAAAAATAACATTTATGGGAGTAACTTTCCACTTCAATTATGTTCATCAGCTGCATAACAGGAACGATTTCTTTCCCCCGGTAAGTATTTATCTAAAATTATTTCTATCTATAGAATTTAACATTTTATCAAACTTAATGTGTAAGATATTTGTCAAGTCAATATAATTTTAATTAACTTTTGGCAGCAGTAGAAATTATTATTTTACAAAAATACATATATTCCTCAAGTTTCACATGACCTATGGTAATATGGTTTGTTTTGAACTAACGTTTGACAGCAGTAGAAACATGTGTGTGTGGAGAGAGAGAGAGCGAGAGAGAGAGAGAGAGAGAGAGAACCCAACCTAAATCAATCCGCTCACAGATGCACACCTTAGCAAAATGGATATTATACGGTTTGTAAAATATAATTATATGATAGTTGTTCCAATGTTTTAATTCAAATTATTGCCACCGTCTAAATGCACTTGTGATAGAGTAGGAGGTCATTGGGGATTATGAAATTATTGCATGTTGTTTGATATTCCAAAATTTCTTACTTTTTTCCTCTCAGTAATTGCTTGCAGTATTAAATTCTATTAAACTTATTTATGAAATTATTGCAAGTCATTTGATATTTCAAAATCCATCTTCGGAATTGCATACAGTATTTATACTAAAAAAGCATGGATTATGACTTTTGTTGAGTAATGAATGATTTTTACAGTGTTGGGGAATAAATCATTTTGAATAAAGAGAAGGTAAAAATATTTAAGTTGGTGCTATGAAGTTTCATGCTTAAAATACAATAGGTCATCACGCATGATGAACGTAGTATGCGGACTGCAGCAATCATGAACCATAAAGTCCAAATCCCTTATAAATTACAAATATAAAGCAAAATCCAAGTAGCTGTACATTCACAGAGGAAAATTACCTCCTTCATTTGCTTTGTCAAAAACAAATTTGGCAAGCTTTGGAATAACTTCTGTATCTGTTTCAGATTCAAAGGTGAACCCTTGTCGGACCAGCGTTTGCTTTAATACCTGCAGATTCACGCAATGCATCAGAATAAGCCCAACCGTTAAAAGGAAATAGCTCAAAAGGAGAATGGATATAAAAACAAAATGGAATACAGTTCAAGGACAGCAGTATGAAATGGAAGTTAAAAATAAATATGCAATTATAAGAACAAATAAAAAATGAGGAATATGAAAAGCAAAGGGAGAAGAAAGAAGTTGAGCATTTCATAGGGCCTAGGCACATCGATAAGCTCGTCTAGCAAATATGTGTTTCCTAACTAGGCACATACACAACTAGAAGCAAAGAAAAGCACATGATTAAAGAAAATTCTTACTAGAGCAAGGAAGCAAAGCACAACTAGAAGCCAAAGCCACAAACAAAACACACAAAAAAATCATTATCAGTGTTATCGATGAAGACAAAGAGCACTAAAATATTTCTTATATTTCATTACTGCGCAACCTATTTGTTTATCCTTAAGTTACTCTACAAAGTTTGTTGGATCAAACACACATATTCGAAAAACGTGACTATGAACACGTCCATGAGAAAGAGTAATGTGGGAATTTAACAAATATATCTTCAGCAAGAAAAAAGATTTCACACTAAAAAGCAGCTGGTACAAAGAACCCAACAATCCAAAATACCATAACAACCAAGAATCCAGAATAAGAAGTCCACAACTTCCAGAAAAAGTTCAATTTCCCTCCCTTCTAAAAGGTTCTCCAATTCCTTTTTCTCTTTAGGGACTCTAAGTAGTGTATTATCACCCAATTGAGCTCAAAATAAATTTGATGAAGAACCATACTGAAAATAAAAAATATATATTAATGTGAGATTGCACTAAATTCCAAGAGTAAGTTCTAAGAGCCCGTTTGGGATTGTTGTTAGAATGATGAAAGTGATTTTAACAGTAGAGCTACCACAAATTGCTATCAGTCAAAAGCATGTTATGTGTTTGGTGATGCATTGTTGTATAAAGAACTTTTTATACTTAAAGCACTTATTAATTTGTTTGGTAACAATGTTGTTTAAAGAAATTTTATTACTATTTTACTATAACAATGTTGCATGATATTAATGTGATTATGATTCATTCATATGGCATTATTTCTGGCTAACATGACATGATTACTGATTATAAAACTAGTTTAAATAAACCTTTACAACTGAAAAATAGGATTTATCATTTGAGATTTTCACTCTACGCAGGATATAGTGTCTTTATGGCTTACCAGATACGATGAGAACAATGGCAGTGATGCAGATCAGTAAGGGATAAAATTGTATTTATAATGAAAAGAGAGGGATTAGATTGTCAAAAAAAATTAGGTAACTACCTCTGCCTAGAACGCAATTCTAAAAGTTACAATTTCTGGCTTCAAGTAAACGCGCTTTTTTTAGGAAATCTACGCAATTTTTTTTAGTCACCAAGCACATCAAACCACAAACAAACGCGCTTTTTAGTGGTATAGAAGCAATCCCAAATGGGTACTAAGAATTATAAAGTCAGTCCAACTGAATAATCAAATCTATTTATATATAAAAGTCCCCATAGCCTCACTATAAAAGATAGGTAAAGACACAGTAAGATGCCAAGGTTCCTAGGGCTTAGTGCAAGAGGCAATAAAAGACGTAAGCCTAAACAAAGTAAGCATATGTGTGATTTTGTATACTTGCAGTTGAAACATTTTCAAAATATATTCAGCACACGCGAGCGCACACCCTAAAAAAAAAAAAAAATGGCAAAAAAAAAAAAAAAAACTAAAAAGAAAAAGAAAAACTCAATTAAGAGAGCCAAATCAATGTACATATATCCTTAAAATTTGCAAGTGCACTCAACTAAATCAAAAATGGAAATGTGCAGTAACAGAAGGCTGCAAAGTGCAAACATGTATTAAATTATAAAAAATAACAGAATCAAGCCCTAAACAAATGTAATTCAAGTAGTCAAACATAAGCCCAAGAATTCCAAGCTGAATATCATATTAATAAATGGGCATTTGAAAATAAAGAAGATATATGAATAAGTGACTAAAAAAATAAATTTGAGCTTTCTTAATCTTGAAGCCTACTACAGAACACCTAATGCCTTTGTGAGTGCCTATTAGAGGGCTTCACCTATCATGGAATAAGATACTGTAGCTGAGCCTTGACTACTATGGGGCTTCTTTGGATCCAACAAGCCCAGTCACGCCTTAAAAAAATGCCCCATAGGACTTGTACAACAAAACCTATCTCAGGCCAGTGAAATCCCATTATATGAAGTATCAAGAGAAAAAGGAACCTACTGATCATTAGTTCTGAAAATGGAGAGTCTGTGTTATGTTCAAGGGCCTAAAGGATTAAAAATAAATAAAAATCTACACAAACATAGGGAATAAATGGTGATGGCATAGCTTTTTTTATTTTCAAGAAATGCCGCCAATTCTAATTGGTACACCATTCTAGTCTGCACAAAGTGATGTCAGGAGGGCTGAGATTAAACAATAAAAATAAATTAATAAAAGTTCCATTGAGAAAGATAGCTGTAAATATTTAAAAGTTCAAACAAAATGAATAAGGGTGGATTGAACATTAGTTTTTTGACCACCAATGAATTTGCAAAAACTTTGAGCTCAGCCAATAAAAGCTAAAAGAATTTGCAAAAACTTTGAGCTCACCCAGTCACATTTTGTACACTTGTTTGTTAATATCATTAACAGAAAAGCCTAAGTAGTTGTACTTACATCATAAGTTTAACATATACTCTTCTATTCATCATTGGAGAATTAGAATTCATTCAATCACTTGCTAAAAATTTTGGGCGCATATTCACTCCGCAGAAACCACACTTCCCACAAAATGTCTAGGCATCAAACTGAATTTATGAAAACAGAAATGTAAAAGAAGAAAAAGATGATTCCTGTCCCCTCGGAAAATTACTATTTTACAACAACAAAATAGTCAAAAAAAAGTCTACTAGCGTGTCTATATATAAAACATGATGTTGTGCAATAAAGAAATTAATACAATAATTTGAAGAAAAACAGAAAATCTGTTATAAAAGATTAAGGTGAACCTCATAATTAGTGACAACTCCATTGTGAACAACCAAGAACTCGTTTCCAGCACCAGATGTTTGAGGATGACTATTCCTCGGAGCTGGTTCCCCATGGGTTGCCCATCGGGTGTGTGCTATTCCAGCGTGGACAGAGTATGATTCCTCCAAATTTAGATCCGTAACAGCAACCTCTGGGAACACAAGATGCATAATCTATTAAATAAAAAATTATGCTAGACCCAGCAAATTTTATCAGAAGAACCAATGTTAAACAAAAGATGGTTGAAAGGATTATAAATGCTACTAAGGAACCAATTCTAATGTCCACCATAGCAACCTCTGGAAACACAAGATGCATAATCTATTTAATCAACAATTATGCTTGACCCAGCAAATTGTATCAGAAGAGCCAATGTTAAACAAAAGATGGTTGAAAGGATGATCAATGCTACTGAAAGCACTCTAATGTCCACCATATTCAGATAAACTGTACCATAATCCTTTACTACACACTCAATTGTCTTTTATACCACAAAAGATTCTATAAGACACTAGGCTAACAAAGAAACTGAATATAGAGAACTTGTTTAAATTCAGCTCTTTAGAAAGAAAGCATATCCTTGCATAAAAGATCTTTGTAGCAAATCATGATGTATTGGACACAAGTCTAACATGCCCAGACACAAATTGACATGCCGAAAGAAGTGTCCTTTTTATTTTTTATTTCTTCAAAATCAAACACACGGTATGGATTTAACCAGTATGGTACCATGCATGGGCATTTTATTTTTATAGACACTTATATTTCATTCTTGGATTTCGATTTTAAGATGCTGATCTCTTATTATTATTACCATGGAATTGCTTCAGTGAATTGATACCTAAATGATATTTAGTTCAATCCTTGTCAATATTTGTTTGTATACTGAAGTAGTTATCAAATGTCTTATTTTTAGAGCATCTGTGTTATATTTTATTATGATTTGTCATTTCACCATGTACATATTGTGTTCTGTCCATATCATATGCATGTGTGTTTCTTAATTATTTAGGAAAGCATTTGTTAAATTTCATTCACTTACTGCTGCTGATATTTCTTATTTTATTTTGATTGAGAATTAGGTTATAATCCAATAGAAAAGGCTTCATTAGTCCCATCAATATAGTTTGGAAAATGTGAACTCAATGTAAACGCCCAACTTCTAACTCACTCAAAGTGACTATCCTCACACTCTACCATTAAAAAAAAAAAAAAAAAATTTAAAAAAAAAATCACATTTTCTTTTTCTTTTTTCTTTTATATTTTTCTTTTTTTTATTTATTTTACCAATAAATGGAAGTGTAGAGGAACCCCCAATTTGACGAAGTTACTAATTTATACATTGAAAAATCTGAGTAGCCAGTTCTGAAGAGTGATGTGCCAGGTACTAGGTTAAGGCCCAGTGAGACTGCACAAACAAGAATTGGCCTCCCATCAAGTATTTTACAGTCTGCAGAACCAATTTCAATTAGAAAGAGCCAAACAATCCATAATTGAGCAGGTTGATATCTATTAATTGACCTTCCAACTATTGCCGTTTGACCAATAAATGGCCACTGAGAAATTAAGAGCTAGTCAGTGATATTGATAACCAGAATGCAGTAACACTAGGCTGATAAAATAAAGTGTACCCCCTCCAGGGAACACTACTTATCAGTCCTATCCAGAACTGTTTCCCTCTCTAGTCACCTTCTCTCCTTTATTTAGTTCAGTGGTTCTCAGTTTACTCATAAAGACTCTGTGATTCAGAATATGTACATCGTGTTGTATCTAACAATCCACAGTAATTCAATGCTCCACCCACTTCATTCAGTGTTCTACTTATCAAAAAAAAAGTCCTCCAAGCTACCAAACTGATAAAAAAATTTAAAAATTCAAAGATTATATGTACTGTTTTGTGCTTCTCAAACAAAAATAAAAATAAAAATCTAGCCTTGGCTTAAGAATTAATTAGTTGTACGGGGCACAAATATAGTAAAAGCACAAAATTTTTGAAATCCAGAACTTTAGTGTTCAATGATTTCCATTCTTTTATTTACTTCATTTTTTCTCGGCAATTAAACAAAAAAATATATAATAATACACACGTATGTCAATAAAGTAAAAGCTAATGAATCAGATCAAAATGTAGAAGAACGATCAGTTAAGATCGAAGAAACTGACCTTCATAGACCGATTTGACGAGCGATTCAATGTTTCCTTCTTGGCGAAAGACGAGAGGAGGGAGAGAATGGGGAGAGGAACCGTTTGGAAGATCAGAAAGCGAAGAAGGCAACGACGAAGAATCGATGGAAATTCCGGCGGAATCGTAGCCTCTGTACTCCAAACGCCTAAGTCCATTGAAGAGGACTTCGAGGATGTAACGTCTCTCTCTGTTGACATTGTAATTCAAATACGCGAATATCCCACACATTCTTTCTCTGTATCAATCGCTCCTTTTTGTTGTTAAACGTTGTTCTTCTTCTCCAACAAGAATCGAAGATCGAAGAGCGATTGAATTGCGTATCTATGCATACATATCCATATGAATATATATATATATATATCGGTATGTAAAATTGAATTGTAGAGAGAAAAAGATGGGAGAGAGAAATGGGAAGGGAGGGAGAAGGGGGGAAAGAAGGGAGTTTTTGACTACTTCTTGGAGTTTAATGGGATGTTGCAAGTCAGTGTTTGACAAATTGACAATTACCACACGCCACGGAAGAGGGTTTGATGGGTATTTTAGAAATTCGATGGAGTTTTCTTGTTCTCTTCTAGAATTATGTGAAGAAAGACCAGCTAGATACAAGGGACTTTGCACCTGCCCGAGAGACAGGGCGACGAGAAATTTGGACCAGTTTAATTTGGGTCCGACCCATTTGAGATGATGTGAGAATAAAAAAAAAAATAACCATTTGGAGATCAAAGATCATAATAGAATTATAGAAGTAGTCTGTTGCTCTTTCTATTCGTCACAATTTTTATAATTATATGTTCATTTATAATATATTTGTTATTTTTATAAGAATTAAAAATATAAACTCTTAAGATAAGATTGTCCTTTAATCTTTTCTTATTTCTGCCCTTTTATTCTCTCTCCTCAATTTTACCATATACATATACAAACACTCACACATATATATTTTATATATATATGTCAATAACATTCTAAGATTGCTAAAAAAATTCATACAAGAATATATTATTTTCTTTCTTTTTAGGTTGCCAAAACAAGTAACATGGAATTGGATTATTTTATTTCCTTTTTTTAATTATATTTTAACTATATATATATATATCCTATAAATGGATTCAAGTTGAGAGAATGGTTTGATTAGCAAAAGATTTGTTTGGTTGAATATATGATAGCAAGTGATGTATATAATGATTAGCAAAAGAGTAGTTATTTATATATATATATATATATATATATATATAGACATCGCATGAATGAACCTATAATTATAACACCAAATAATTATCACATATATAATTATAATTAGACGGGTTGAGTATCTAAAACACAAAGGCTTACTTTTTGAGTAAATAACAATATTTTTTTACTTTTGGTATATAACCCACTGAAGAATTTAAAAATACTATAAAAATGAACTTTAAATATGTGTCTAGAATTAAAGGTCAATTGACGAAAAGTTCTTATTTAGGCCTACAATAAATATTAAGAAAAATTACACTGACACATCTGTGATTAGGTCATATTTAAGTTATATAAAGATTTTAGTTTTAATTTTCACTTACACCCCAAGTTATTGTTTGACTTCTGACAGATGTAAATCGACCCTTCTACCCTCAATTTTTTTAATACAAAATATGTATAATTTTAAATGACAAAAATGCCCTATGTATATACGCACTATTTGTACATGCGCCGCCACCATCTTTAACCCCACCACCCACAACTTCCTCTGTCCGTATATATTAAAATACCCGGCGGCAACTCTACCTCCACGTCGCCGCCGCATCATCACAGCTCCACCACCAAATTGACAATACCCACAACCACCAACAAGCCTTCACCTTCGTCCCTGTCACAACATAGCACCGAAATCAACAATAGAACGCACACCGAAATCAACAACAGAATGCTAAGGACAGTCCTCCACCACACACGTATCAGATCTCGGCCCAGAGGAGTCCGACGATATCATTCACCGGAATCACTGTGTCGTCGGATGGCATGAAAGAAGCAGAGTGTAGAGAGTGGGGGATAAGAATCTGAGGAGAGAGTGTTGAAGCGTGGTCGCCGCCACTACCGCAGATCGAGGTGGTTCATGACGGCGCCGCGTGGGTTGAATGCGCTGTAACGTCGGTGATGGCGGCAATTCATTCTTGGCCGTCTGGTTGTCTTCAACTCTGACGACGACGGTGGCTAGATTTGAGCAGCTCTATTTTAGGGGACACGGTAAACAATTCCTCAAAAATGTCAGGCCATTTATCATTGATATCTTCCATCTCAAATAATTGGGGACCAAAAAAAAAAAACAGAGAGACGCAAACCCCGAAGAAGAAGACCATGACTGGGTCAACGAGTTTCTTGGAGCACCAGATTGTTCCAGTATAGAAAAAGACAAATTTCTTCGATTGCGCACAGGTAGTTCTAGTCTCTAGTTCCAAATCCAGGTTTCATCTTCAAATCAATTTTTGGAATCCATGTTGTGTTTGAGCAAGAAGATAAAGGTACCCCATACAACATTTATCCTTGTAACTGTGTGAGAGGATGAGAGAGAAAGGGGAAAAAGAAAGGTAGAGAGAGAGAGAGAGAGGAATCGGAGTGCATGAGGGCTTGAAAGAGAGAATGGGGTTCGAAGAGGAGAGAGGAAATGTGTGGAGAGGAGAGAGAAAGAGAAGTGGGGAGATTTGGGGCTAGAGAGAGAGAGAGTGGGGTTCATGTTTGATGATGAATATTGTAAGGTTGTTGTAATGGGTTGGCAATGATGAAAGAGAGAGAGAGAAGCAAAGGTTGGTGATGGTGTTGCAGAACACACACAGGCAGGGCGGTGGTGATTGTGATGGGTAGTATGGTCATAAAAATAGTCAATAGGATGTCAAACGGTAGTATAGTCATTTAAAATCTCCAAAGCCTCTGACTTCATAAAAAATCCACATTTGGGATGTATGGCTACGTTTGGTTTGGTGTATAGGAATTCTCATTCTCATTTCATTCTAAGTTTCATTATATTTTATTCATGCACACCAAACATAGCATAACACTAATTCAGCTCAAAGTGAAATTTAAAATCAAAATGTTAATTTAAGTGAAATATGACCTAACCACAAGGGGTGTAAGTATAATTTATCCTAAATATTATGGGTTTTCAAAACAGAGAATTATAGGAGTTAAATGCATATTAGAGGGATGTTAAATAGTTGTGAGCACTTATTAAACGGGCTATGTAGCATTTTTATGGGAGCGGGATGCTGGGTCTGGGTCCTACAAAAGAAATAAAAGCTAACACTTTTGAAAATAAGAATGTTAAGGTGGATGAACACAATGATTAGAAGTTATAAGGTCACTGTTCACTAATAAGAATGTGAGAAAAATACTTATCAGAGAAAAATTAGTGTATATAAATCCCATTAGTGAGAAAATTACAAGGTAGGCTTAAATGGTTTAAATATTTACATTGATACTTATACACTTATTCGGATCAAACGAGGAAGAATAGTTGTAATGGAATGTAGAAGATAAAGACGATAAAAAAAATTAAATAAAGAATTCATGTGACGAACCTCATTCATATGGGGATTAAGATGAGAATGAAAAAATCGTGAAACCCAATCAACACATGATTGAGAACATTATACGCCGGACCACATTTATTTAAACCAAGATAAAATTAACTAATTAAAAATATTAATTACTAGCTCTAAGTAGGTGCAGAAGGGAAATTAATTAAATGTTGCTGTGTATATATATATACCTGTAGAAACGCCACAGCTGAGCAACAAGTCCATCTTCTTGGGTGGAGCTATGTAGTCAATCTTGACGATACTGAGGGAGTCTAGGATGGTGTATTCACTGAAAGTGGAAGTGCGTAGAAAATGGAAGATAGGTTCGCCATCGTTCGCCATCACGCTCTTTGTTGGATTCACGCCAAAACTCTTACGCATATATATTAGTAGTTTTCACAGAGTTGCAGAAGATAGTCTCACTGCACTCGATAAAAAGAGAGATGTGTAGAGAGAAAAATATTAATCCCTCCCAAAATAAGTATTATACTTTTTTTTTTTTTTTTTTTTGTGGTTTGTCCCAAAATAAATGTCATGTTTTTTATTTTCAAACAATATATTTTACATATTTATATATCGTTTAAAATTTCAAGCTTAATATTCAAACTTAAAAAGGCAATTTAGTAATTTTTCAGATAAACAATATATAATATCCAATGTGTTTCCTTAAAGATCGTACTATTCCCCATACATGTCACTTAAATTCAAACAGATGAAATAATATATACCGTATAGAGAGAGATATGCACATTGTAGTGTAATATCCATTCTTTTGTTGGCTAGGAAAAATAAAGGAAGTTATTATCTTGGGATGAAAAAGAATGAAAATTCATTCCACATCTCAATTATTATTCTATTTTCAACTAAATAAATAAATAATTACGTTTCAAAATAATAAACACTTTTCAAGATAAAAAATTGCTGTCATTATCAAAACCCACCACGCTAGCACTGATCCAACTCAAAACTAGAATATTGATAATTATTTTTTTCTTACTTTATTTAATATTTATAACTAAACAATATATATTCTTTTCTTACTTTATTTAATATTTATAACTAAACAATATATATAATGAGAATAATCAATACATTTCAACACTATTAGTATGCCCATTCAATCATATATTTATAACTAAACAATATATTATTTAATATTACTAATAGTGTTGAATGCTTACAAGGTAGGTGAACCAAGCATTCAACACTATTAGTATGCCCATTATATCATATATCCATCATTTTAATTTACTTATAGTAATTTTTTTTTATAATAAAAATGAGAAGAATTTAATTGAATGGAGTATATCGATTAATTAAGGATACCAATAGTGTGTTGTGTATGCCTTTTCAGTATGGGCAAATCTTTTGATCAAACATATTTCACCAAGATGGGGGAGAGAGGTGGTAATGAACTGATAGCCTGATACCGAGTGATATATATATATATATATATATATATATATATATATATATATAGTAGTGTGGAACTGCTTTGTGGAATAAAAATTATGTACTCACTTTTAATTATAACCTTAATATCTAATCATGCGGTAATTAATTAATTAATTTTTCTTTTCTTTATTTTAAGAAACTTACTCTTTCTTTCCCATTAAATATTGTTAAAGGAAAATGACAGAACTAAACAATTTATTAAAGGAAACAAGAATAAAATTATTTGGCTACTCTTTGCCTGGGTTTTTCAGTCTCGTAAAAAAAACACTTCCCCATCGTTGTTGGTTGTTTGTTCAACAAATTTGAAAGTGGCAACCGAAACCAAATAAAATTAATCAAAAGAGGGTATATAAAATGGCTATTAAATAAAGATTTCTTGAGAATATTGGTTATAGTCCGAACTTAAATTTCAAAATTGATCCATGTTTTTATTTTCAGCTTAATTAGAGATCTTAAATTTGTTCAACAACTAATTTAGAAATAGGAGATGACTATTGGCTTCATAAATTTTTTAGAAGAGTCCTGCCAAACAATTCTTAATATATGATTATATATCCATCTAAATATTCTCAGTGTTTCTTTTTCTTTTTTCTTTTTTTTTTTTTCCTTTTTCTTTGGGGGTGTGGGGTTATAAATAAAATGTTCAAAGTGTTGATCGGGGGGTATAAGTTAAATGTTCAAAGTGTTGATCCTATAAGAGCATACCAAAATGTGTATAATATTACAAATCCTAGATTTTTCCAAAGTCCTTAATTTATAGTATTCTAATGGAAAATTATGTTCTTTATTTATTTAAAATCATTTAGGTATATGTTTTTTTAATTTATTGCATAATTTATTATATTGATAAAGTGTAGGAAGAACCTAAAAATGATGACTTTTAATTTCTAGATTAATTTTACTTTGTCTAGATGGCTGCTTCCGAATTTGGCAAAAGTAGCCAAGTTATTTTATTATTGTTTCCTTTAATAAATTGTCTAGTTTTGTTATTTAATAGTATGGAAAGAAAATGTAAATTTCTTAAAATAAAGAAAAGAAAAGTTAATTAATTAATTATAGTATGATTAGATTTTAAGGTTGTAATAAAAAATGAGTATATAATTTCTTGGAAATAATTGAACACTACTATATATATATATATATATATATATATATATAAAAGGTAAATCAAATTTTGTTTTTTTTAAAATAGTCCTAAAGAAAAATTTTAAGACTTCTTTCTTTTTTAATAAGAAAAAGTAGAATTTCATGATAATTTTTCTTAACCAATGCATTTAAATAACACAAAGAAGAAATAACCACTAATAGAAGTAAAAATAGAAAGGAATTGGAAAGAAAATATTAGAAAATGATAGCACGCCACAAGTCACATCTCATCTAATAATGTTTTGTCTAATCTTTTAATGATAGCACAACAAAAGTACTTAATTTGATAGCCAAATTAGCCAAATATAGCTTAACAGGCTTGTATTAATTATTACGTAAAACACAAGAAACCACGAGAAGTTGACAATTACCCCAGGATTTGATTGGTGTTTAATAAAATCGATGGAGTATTTTTGTCATTTTATAGAATCACGTGTAGAAAGCCCAACATGGACTTTGAAACCGGCCCAAGTGACAACGGGCATGAAATTTGGACGGTCCGACCCATTTGAGCGTTTTGATGATATTGACATTTGAATCACATGGAATGGGAAGTTGGAACCAACCGACCGTCCGACACATGATTGGGATTTGCGAGTGGAGGGACATCAGCCACGTTATGTGTACACCCAAGAAACGTGGCTGATGTCCCTACACACACACACACATATATATATTACAAAAAAAATCTAAAGATTTTTTCTAATTTTGAACAAACATTGATTGAGTAAAAAATGAATGTGTGGAACTTAACAATGCAATTTTACAAGGAAAATTTATCACCAAATCTACTTTTCTTGTTAAAAGATAAATAAATATTAAAAATAATTTAGATTTTTTTCTATACTCTAAAAATACATTTTATTGATTTTTTAAATAATAATAATTTCTTTGTACCAAAGTCATCGTGTATTAGACACGAGTTTTTTTTTAATGAATTTAAATTAGATTAATTATTATTTAAACTCATTAAGTAACTAAAACTTAAAATGAATATATATATATATATATATATATATATATGATTATATACCAATTCTTGAATAAATTTACTTTTATTAACAAGGGTATAAATGAAAGATTTATGATTTAGAACTTCATTGAAATAAAAAAATCTCCAAGTAGGACTTAGACTCATTATGTCTTTTAATGAGAAAAATAATATTTTATGGTAATTTTTTCTTAACAACAATTTTTTAGAAAAAGAAGAAAATTACCACCAATTAGTTTTGAAACAAAAATTCTAAAGTTCAAGATTCTATATAAGACAATATGAGTGTGAGTTTCTTGCTATAAATAAATAAAATATTGAGTTGATTCTTCTTGGTTAAGATATTTTGGTTCTCGTGTTAATATTTTGAGTTGGTTTGTGATTTAGCGATTTTGGTTCTCCTGTTAATATTTTGGGTTGGTTAAGAGATTTTGGTGCTCTTGCTAATATTTTGAGTTTGAATGAGTGTTGGTCCATTAGACAGCCCAGATAATTTGAAACCCGATCCAACAACATCTCATGGACCAACACTCAATCAAACAACAACTAGGTCGGTACAGCTATATGGGCTCTTAAAGGGCCCAAGTTAACGGGCTCCTGAAACAATGCTCTATCTCTGGAGTCTGGACCAATAAATCTCAAAAGCTTCACACAGTTCACAGGAGATTTCAGAAACCCTAAGACGCGAAAACCATAGACAAGCTATAGGAAGATGACACAGAAAGCTAACCTATTCAAAGGTCAGAAGAAGAAGAAATCGATTCCTCCAAATCGCCATGGAAAAATCCCTCAAACTCGAAAAGGTTTCAGACTGAATCAAACTCTCAATGATTATCGCTCTTTTTTCCCTATCTATATATATATGTATTTTGTTTGTATATGTACTTGTTGAATGAACTCTTTAGTCTCTTTTTGTTGAATTCAAATTGCAGGGAAGAGAGCTGTAAAGCCTTCGAAGGTCACAAAGGAGATGGATGCTGATCGGGTAAGTTTCGTTTCTCTATGCCCTCTACTGAATTGAGCTAAAACTATACTATTTAATACAATTACTAGCATTAGGTCTTCATATAAATTCAGTTCGGTGAAGTTTCTTAGACATTCAATGTGTGAGGTCACTTTGTTTGAACGACAAACTGCATCAGTTTGTTTCTCATTTAGTTACTTCTGTATCTGTTATAATTTTGATATTATTTTGTGTTGATTGTTTGGTTTGTTATGTTTTGTACAACGACATGGGTCAAAAGTAAAATAAGAAATGTGAATCATAGTTTTATAGCATTGAGTCTTCGTGACAATGAAAAAATCCAGTCTTGTATGTGCTCAATTCTCTGTGTGTCAACACTGAAAAAAATCCAGTCTTGTATGTGCTCAATTCTCTGCGTGTCAACACTAAAAAAAATCCAGTCTTGTGTGCACAATTCTCTGTGTGTCAACACAATTGTTACAGTCGATTTGCATTCTCTTTCCCTTATTCCTTTTTGCTATGAATTAGTGCAATCTAACATGCATGTCTATAGATTCGTGAGATGGACACACTATGACATGGATGCACTATGACATGGATGCAGTGACTTGGTGAATTCTAAAACAAGAAGACATGGATGTAATAATAAAAATAAATAAATAAAAAAGAAAGAAATAAAACTTTATTACCTAGTGTATGTTGATTACCCGTCTAGTGGGTTTTGGACAGGAAAGATTGGAGATAGACCTAATATTTGATATAATTTTGTATAAATTAGCTGTTTTGAGACTTGAACCAACTTTCTCATGCTTTCCAACCCGTGCCTTTATTATTACTTCTTGCCCACGCTGTGTGCTTGGAGGGGAAGACTAGAGACGTGACCTATCATTTGACATTTTCTTGGGCAAATTTGTTAATCTCAAGACTCAATTCATATTTTCATACTTGTCTCTTCCAGCTTTTGCCATTGATGACAAAATGAATAGTAAATGTGCGTTCATGTGATCGTCATTATGTAATATAAGAATAATATCATCTATATATATTTATTCAAATATGAGTGGAAGTATTTTATGTTGAATATTTTACGTTACATAGAAATAAATTAACTCTAGAAAATAAAAGAAAAATATTGAATGATATGAATATTTAGCTATGTCCTTGAGTCTTGGTGTTTTGTGGCCTGTAACGGACGTTTGATTGCGTTTAAGTTTTAGGATCAATGTTTAGGGCTTTGAACGATAATGATAGGATGTTGAAGGTTGGTTATTGCTTTTAATAGTGCCCAACAGTCTTGAAAATTAAAATAAAAGAAGAGAAGAAAGATATTAGAACCTATAAGGATTTCTATGAGTCTCACCTGAAAGAAATTAATGGAGAATCAACATAAAATGGTAGTTAAAACTGTTGAGAAATTTTATTAATCAAACTTGCATAGTCTCTGTAAAACTTGTGTATAAAGAAATATGGAAACTTACCCTGTGAGACAGTGAATTTCCTTCATACTGAAAATTATTCATAACCAAACAAGTGATTAACCTAGATATTAAACATAAAATAATATTACCCCTGGTTATATAAACTATCAATATCTACCTCCGGTGGGAAAAAGGAAGTCGGATTAAAGGTCCAAAAACAATTGAGTTCATCCAAACACTACTTGATTTGTCCTCTTTAATGTGACATCGATGGCCTATTCTGTTGACTAACTAGTTGGGGCCCACATGATATTCCTCTTTTCCTCCTAGCATATACTTGTTGGGACTAATCACCATCATTCTACCTTAATATTCTCTGGTCTTAGTCTCTTCATGTTTTAGATTTCGGTAGTTCAATAAATGTAGAATATCAGTGAGAAAATGATATATTGAACGTAGAATATCAGTGAGAAAATGATATACATAAATATGGCATATATTTACTGGGACTGGCGCCATCAATCTACCTTGGGAATGTCTGATTTTATCCTCTTATATTTCACTTTCAGTCTTTCAGGTTTGGAGACATCAATAAACGAAGCACAAATCAATACAACGCCCATACCCACTTCCATGTTTGACTACTGTGAATGAGACCTTTGTTGTGCTTTTATTTTTGGTTAATTGTAGTTGCATAATGATTTGAAGAAGCATCTCTTATTGAGTGATTGACTTTTTAATTTGGCTGACTGAGCCTTTAGCCAATTTATAAATAAAGAATTAGAATGAATGTTTCTCCTTATAGTGGTTACAAACCTTCACAGGCTCCAAATGGTGCCAAAGAGACATTTGATTTGTAAAACAGGAATATTTTTCTTATTCGCAGACCTGGCTAACCAATTAGAAATTCAATATAAACATAATGATCAGGAAGCCTATAACTGGCAAGTGCTTTCCTTATTTCCGACTCTTGAAAAAACTGGTGTTGAACACATAAGCAATTTGTTTGACCTGGCGTTTGGTAACAAGATATTATGTCGCATATTGTAATGATAATTTTATCGGCATTTAGGCGGAAAAATCCTGTATCCACCCGAATTTTATTTTTATTTTTATTTTTTTATTAACTGAGTCCAATAAAATTGCATCTAACTTACTCCAGCATCTTTCATAAATCATGCTGGTTTCTTCATAGTTTGTTTTGTTTTGCATTTATATATATGTGTGTGTGTGTGTACCAGGACCTTGAATATATATTTGAATTGCTACAACGATTCCCGATGGAACATCCATTTTTTTTCCACTTCATGTAAAGCAGACATTGTGATTTTATAAGAATTTGGTTCTCTTACTAAGCTACAAAAACAAATTGACCTGTTTTCTCTCTAGCTGTGTTTGTTGCTGTGTAGTACACGTTGCTAATAGAATCATTTTTTGGTTGGGACTTTAATGTGTCTGTTGCAAGGGATTGAAAGTTGTTTGTTGTTTTCTTAGCTTGAAGGAGCCCATCATCCTTAGCTTCAGACATTGTGATTTTATAAGAATTTGGTTCTCTTACTAAGCTAGAAAAACAAATTTCTCTAGCTGTGTTTGTTGCTGTGTAGTACACGTTACTTGTAGAATCACTTTTTGGTTTGGACTTTAAGGTGTCTGTTGCAAGGGATTGAAAGTTGTTTGTTATTTTCTTAGCTTGAAGGAGCCCATCATCCTTTTCTTGTTGTTCGTGTATGGAAATCGTTTGGCTTTCAGAACATGATTTAGTTGGTTCACTTTTTCTAACAAACTGAATTCGTGCTTTCAAAACCGTTCCATGTTATGCCGTGTTATTCTGGAAAAGATCCAGTCATAGAAAGTGGGACGAGTATCACGAGTTGTTTCCACTATTTTAAAATGTGAAATGACGTCCTTGAGCCTTGAGGTGTTTGATGCCACTGTTGTATTGCTTTAGTTACAAGAAATGATTTCATTTCAACAGAGATTTTAAATTCTTTCATTTACGCCACTAATTGCTCTCTATTTCTTTTTTGGTCATCAGGAGACGAGCAAGTTCATAAACTACTGCAACGAGTTGAAAGCGGCCACTGCTGCCAACAAGGAAGGTGGACAATTGAGTATTGTTAAAGCACCGCCAGAGTCCACTAGTGATGCAAAGAAATAGTTGACCACGAGACTGCAGCACTGGGTAATTGTTAAGGAAACACAAACTGGCTTCATGTATCAAAACATTTGTGATGTAGGCTGCCTTCTTTTTGGCCGGTGGGGTGAGAGGTGGTTTTTTGTTTTGCTGTTTGACTTCCCTTTTGATTTATACGATGTTTAGATATGACGGTCAAAACGGTTCAAATTTTGAAAAAATGTGTATTCAAAATGATGCAATATTTAAGATTTGCGTTGCGTAGATTTGAATTCACTCAATTTTTTTGATTGTTTGAATTTTAGTTGCCCATTATCCCACAATGGATGGTTATTTTTTATTTATTTATTTTTTTTTTTTGGGGTATTTATTACCTTTGTTCTGGGACAATATAAAAAGTTCATACAAAGTATATTTTTTTCTTTTCTTAGTTGGGTACTCATACACATTGCTTTTATTGATGCTTGAACTGCTGACCTCTTTTGAGAAGTAGGGCCTTATATTGTTAGGTCACATAATTTTGTTTGGGAACTTTTTTTATGATAGACTATACTTTTAAAAAGACATAAGTGGTAGAACAAAGTGTTTTTTTTTTTCTTTTTTTCTTTGTTTTTTTTTTTCTCGGAGTCATGAATCTGTTTTTCCCTGGACCCAAAACTTTACCAGATGACTGGATCAAGCACCACATAGGTATTGCCCACTACGCATATTATTCGTATTTACGTTCACATTCAAAATGGGTAAAATCGGTACTTGCTTTTGTGGGTAATGTGAGATAAGAAAGAAATAGTGAAATATATATAATATTTTTTTATTTAACTTGTTGACAATATTAAAGTAATCAAAATTGTGGACAATAATAAGGTCTGGCCCCTCGAGAGATTGTTATTTAAGGTAAAGTCAATTCAAACCTTTTAAGATTAATTTGATTTTAGGAATTCTGTTCGGATTTATTCGATTTAAAGAATTTTGAGTTTAGTATTTAATTTTGGTTTGCCTTCTAAATCAAATCAAACCACAAGTGTTTGTCACCCAATTTTAAAATCAAAGTGATGGGGTTTGTGGACTAGAAAATTGGCAAGTGAAAATAAAAAAGGGAAGACGACAAGTGAGACAAGATGAGGTGGATCCAAGTCATGAAATCTGATAAGTTAGCCCTCACCAACCCCAACCCTAACCCTGTAACGTGTTTATTCTGACATCATGAAAAAGCCAAACTGGTCTCCTGCATAGGACACGTGAAAAATAAACGCAGTGAATATTGAATAAGCTCTAAATCCTTATTTGGACCCACTGCTCTGAGGTGAGTGAATATTCAATTACCTCTAATTCCTTCGTGGTCCAATTTGGACCCCCTGCCCTGACGTGAGTGAAATGTTTCTGCTTTATTTATGGGTAAAATTATGATTATGAATTATATCCTTAATGTTTGAACAAATTATACATGATTGGTTCGTTTAAGTGTTTATTATTAATATTTTTACCTTTTTTCAATCCTTTAGAGTTTTTTTTTTTTATGTGAAAGTTGACGATGGATATTACTGACTTTTCATACTCAAAATCAATTTTCGACCTCTTGGAATGGATTTAGGAAGATGAAAGTAATAAACTTAAACAGTATACTTTGTCCAAACTTTAAAAGGAAGTCAGTGTAATTTATCATTTATTTTAGGGCTAATTTTTAAAAACTCACTATTTTTAAATTTTGATCATAAACTCTCAACTTGTTTCAAAAACCCCCTATATTTTAAAAAGTGATCAAATTATCTCAATATCCGTGTCCGACACGTTAACAAATTTAACCTTATTATTTAATGTTAAATTTAAAATTAAAAATAATTTTTTTAAATTACAAAAATACCCTTTAATTATATTTTTTACCTTCTCTCAAATTCACCCCTCTAAATTATTTTTTAAATTAAAAAAATAGTTTTAAATTTAACATTAAATAGTAAAGTTAAATTTATCATTTTACAGCCAGGTTAATGGGTCGGATGTAAATATTAGAGCAATTTAATCACTTTTTTGAAGTGTAAAATTTTTTTTAAAATAGATTGAGATTTTATGATCAAAATTTAACGGGGTTTTATAGAATTATCCCTTTATTTTATTCAAGTATATGTTCTCTCAAATTAGCACTTTTGCTTCTGGTGGAACTTTTGTTCTTGAGAAACACTTGGACCAAATCATATTTTATCCCCGGTCTAATGTTAAGAGTGCGTTGAATTCTAATTTGGGAGTCAATTTTATAAACATAATTCATATTTGGCGTACAATATTGACCTTTAAAAAAAGAAGCAAGCACAATTCATTCATACAGTATAAATGAAGATATAAAGATGTATGATAGGAGTCACTAGAGAGTTAACACAAAAAAAAAAAATGTAAGAAAAAACATAAGGTGTGATGCTTGTTAGTGAAAAACGAAGGATATTAAATTTAGGTGGTATGGATACAAACATAATATTCTTATAGACGCACTGATCAGAAGGCAAAGGTTAATTTGGATAGTTGGCAAAAAGGGTGACCGAAATTAACATGGATGATTTTTAAAAAGTTAAATATTAGGACTTGAGAATAAAATAGAAAAAGGAATTAATGTGGCCCACCTTATCCCCTCATATGAGATTAAAGTGTTGTTTGATAATTCAATTTAGTGTTTAATTTTGAACGAATTCAATACTTATTCAATTAAGTGCGTTTAATTACGCAATTTGAATATCACTGAAACAGTAAGATCCACTTAAAATAGAGTAGAATTTCAAAGTGACGGGATATCACTTATCACTAGAAGCTGAACGCTAAATTTTTTTAAAAATATAAAAAAATATTTATTTTTAATTACCACTTCAGAATTTTTAAAAAAATTCAATTTTAGTTTTATCAAACAACACCTAAGACAAGAAAGATAATAATTAAAAATTTATATTTGATCCTTGGAATACATGATTATTTTGAATAAAACTTAACGTAATAAAAATGAGATTCTTACTCAATTGAATTTTAAATATATTTAGCTTTATTTAAATGTTAAGATATTACGTTGAATTCTAAATTGAGTCGATGTTATAAACTACTGAATTCATATTTGGTCCATGTAATGCATAAATTATTTTAATAAAACCTCACATAATAAAAATGAGGCTCATATAGAATCGAATTTTAAGTTAAGCAGGATTGATTTCCCATGACTACTTAATTGGACTTGACATGGATTAATTGATACAGGAATTACAATTTAAAATCACCAATGATTTACGATCAAATCAAATCTTCATGTGATAGTGGAATGTATGAGTTGAGCATATATACCTTATATTCAAATGAAAGGAAAAAAAAAAAAAAAAATTGTATTTAATTTTCATTTCCAGCATGTGCTGCCTTCTCTGTTGCTACAAAAAAGCTTCATTCATAATTGAAATTATTTATTATTCTCAGACCCACCACACAGATGTGTTGGGTGGATAATTTATTGGAAAGAGTCATATTGTTATACCAAGAGCACATGGTTCAGTCCTGGCTGTCTATTGTTAACTAGAGATATTATATATATATATATATATATATATATATATATATATATATATATATTTAAAAGTGAGTGAGAATGTAATTTAATACTCACTCTGTCTCAAAATAGTTGTCCATCTTAGAAGTTGTGATTTACAAAGATAATTATTTTAGCACGAAGGGAGTATGACTTATAAGGTATAAGATTTCTTTGTAACAAAAGTTTTATAGCATAAAAGTGTACAAAAATAAATAAAATTTGATAGAAATGGAATTTTTTTTTTTTTTTTTTGGTCCAAAGAGATATGGGTTATTAACATGAAAAGTAGTGATACTCAAATCGAAGAATTGGATACAATGTCTTGACCTAATACTCATAATTAATTAATGTATGCAAAATATAAGAAAATGGGTCTCTCTTTTCCTTTTTTTCATGATCCAAAGAGATATGAATCGTTAACGTGAAGAATAGTGACACTCAGACCGAAGAGTTAGAGTTTGATGGAATACTTTCAATTGGTGAGTATTCGATCCCACTTCACCAATTAAAATTATCTGGGCAAAGAATTATCTACAACTACTTAACTTTAAAATCATTTTCCTAATTTGAATAAGTAACTAATTGAAAAAACAGAAGATATATATATAACTTCTTCCCAGAAAATTAAAGAAGACAAGTGTTATAAGGGGCTTTGTCCACATCGAATTCAAATAAAGAAAGTAATTGAGTATAAATGTGTTGGATTTTAACTCCACCTAATAACTTAAGCATTTTTATCAAATTGCAAAATACTCAACCCGATTATAACCAATATCAAAGTCGGGCTCAATTCTTGAACCAGTGTGAGAATGTTCTTCATCATTCCTTTTTCAAGTATGATGAAAAAATTCAATGTGGATAGTTTGCTTGAATGGTATCAACTCATTGTTTATTTTTACCCCCCTTTCTATTTTTATTTTGTACTTTATATGTTTATATCTTGCCTTGAATATAAACTAAAATGAACAATCTAAAAATTAAAAATTAAACTTGTCATTACAAAAATAATGACAAAATCATCGTGTCATGTTCTGGAAGTGTGGAAGTGTCTAAAATGTGTCTTTGCCGTATCCCAATCGTGTCTAACTAAAAAATAAAATATTCAAATTTCAAGACATTTCTAGTCATATTTGACACGCCCGATTTGGACCATGTCAGCGTGTCCGAAACATGTCCAAGTGTCTAATACTTCCACGACACCATAGTTGGAGTGTATGTGCTTCCTAGGTCCTTACCAAGATAACCTTTCAAGTTTTAATATTAATGTATATAAAGTTAGAAAATTTAGAAAAGCCCCACGAAAATATGCAGCTTACGTAAATTTTCAAGTGGGACAAATATTTTGAAACAATCTAAAAAGAAAAAGATAAACAACTAATATGAGAAATAAGTATGTCATTGTTTTTGTTGGGTTTTTTTTAGTAGTGATACTTACATCGAACACTTGCAGTGAATTGCCTAACCGAATAATTTTTAATTTACTATTTATACTAAATACAACTAAGTTGAGGGTTCCACTTCTTTATTTGTTGCATAATTGACTAATTAAAAGAGTAGGTCTAACAATTTACTGTAACTATTCGTACAAGAATCATTTTTTTTTTTTTTTTTTGAAAAACTTCAAGGTATTTATGAAAGAATGCATTTAATTTACATGAATTGTTTGTGGAATAAGTATTTTGAGACAAAAAAAAAAGGAAGAAAAAAAAAAAGAAAAAGAAAATGAGGGAGGAAGTATTTAATAGTCATACCACTGTTTTTATGTGGTTGGAATAACTGTAATAATCAGTTTCTTAGCAATTAATTAAATGTATTTAATGACTTTACACCCTACTTTAAGGTAGGTAAATTTATTGACCAAGAAGGGTACTAGAAGTTACGTTTTACTTTTATTAGCATGACAAAAACAGTACAAAGTTAGGCATTTGTAATTAAATGTAGTTTTTTTCGGATAATAATAATTAAATGTAGTTGCCTTGCACGCTGAGAAACAAATAATATGACGATAAGGTGGGGTATGTCTGTCACTTTCTTTCTAGAAAAGTCTTGCCATCACCCCATTCAACATCACCTTACGTATATGTGTGAAGTAACCCCATGATGATCAAATCTCAGCCGTTCAATCCATCATCACCATCATCATCCTATCTCTACAATTCAACCAGTTTGCGTAACAAACTCCATCTCCTCTTAATATTATGATCAGAAGCATCTTATTATCTTATTCAGTTCAAGTACTTCACTATTGGAAAAAAAAAAAAACAAACAAAGCTTCAATGTTAATGTAAATAAAATTAAAAATTGGCACATTTGTATTATAGGAGACCTCACCACCTAACTTAATTAGTACATATGATATTAACACCCTGACTACTTATATTATATTTTAATTTATTTTATACTATGTAGAGAAACGAAAAAACTAAAATAGAAGAGGAGAGAGAAAGTGAAATCCAACATATTAATTCTTTCCTAAGATTTTGACTTATTACAATGGTTTTTCATATGGGTCAATTTGTAATTACTGTATTTTTTAAGAACCAAATACCGTTTAACACTTTTTATGAATAGGCCTGTTAATGATACAGAATGCTTTTAATTATTTTGAGAATATAATATTATTACTTAGAATTAAAAATGGTAAAGATCACATTTATGTTATTTTGTGTGTCTAAGTTCTCCGGCCTCGCTTGTTTAAGTTCCCAACACAATTTTTTTCTTTGATTTTTTCACTAAAATTTTAGAACTCATATTTAATAAATAAATTAAAAATATATATATATATATATATATATATATATATATATTGTTTTTTGCAAATAAAAATATAAACTAAAAACATTAATATTCTTCCGAAACCGTCCCCGGCCAAAACCGTCTCCAAATCTGATCGGGAGGTTACTATTGCTCTCTTTTTGTTGGTCAATCCAAACCGACACGTGTGCTGACCTCCACCACGATTGGCACGTGTATTCACGCGCAGTTCAAATGCGTTGGACAACATGAGCTAAGTAGGTCGTACATGTGTCTGAGACACTTGAGGTAATGTCTAAAAACAATGAGGCAATAAAATCAGCCACCACAACGGAACAAATCCAACGTTCACCAGATAAGACCACCGACGCCGCCGCCGACCGCCTCCGGTGACCTGACCACCTCCTCCCAAATGGGTGCCCCAGATTCCGTAACGCAACACCACCACTCCCCTTATCTATTCCATTGAATTTTTGTTTCTTACTCTGTTTCTAAAGTTTTGTGTTCATGTGTGTTGGTTAGGCGATGGAGAGAAAAAATGATGATGATGTAGAGAGAGAAGAAGAAGATGAAGAAGAAGGGGATGAGAAGGAGAATCAGAAAGAAGACGAGGAAGAGAAGGATGTGGAGAAAGTTGAAGTGGTTGTTGAAGAAGCAGTGATTCAGAACAACCCTCCAAGACCAATTCACATGTCGAGAATGCAAAGATTGGCCACTACAAACCCTCTGAGACTTGTCATCAATAGTGCCACCAGAGTCGCCTCACCCTCTCCCCAGCAACCGCGTCCCTCTCCCCAGCAACCTCGTCCCTCTCCCCCTATGTCTCAGCCTCGCTCTACCCCAACCCCACAAGTAAGTCTCTCACACACACAAACACACAATAAATTATGCAACTTTTTTTTTTTAGCTAATTTTTGCAAATTTGATCTGAAATTTGTTTTGGGTTTTTTTTGGTGTCCAACCAGCAACCAGTTTAACACTCAATTCAAGAATTTACACAAACAGAATATCATTATTCTTGTTCCGCGCGCGCACACAATTATATATGTAACATTTTTTTGGCTGATTTTTGCAATTTTGATTTGGTTTTTTTGTGTGTGTAACCGGCAATCAGTAATAACACTGAATTCAAGAACATACACAAACAGAAAATCATTACTGTATTTCTGTTCCACACTCACACACATAATTATATATGTAACATTTTTTTGTTGATTTTTGCATATTTGATTTGGTTTTTTTTTTTTTTTTTTTTTTTTTTTTTTTTTTTTTTTTTGTGTGTGACCAGCAATCAGTTATAACATTGAATTCAAGGACATACACAAACAGAATATCATTGTTCTTGTTTGTTGTGCACACGGTTATGGCTATTGGGCTAGTTGGTTTTCTTCTATACAGGGGAATTGAAGGCATGATACAGGCAGGTTCAACAAGGAGAAGGGAGAAGAGGGTATTACAGTATTTTCTGCCACAGGTTGAGGTTGCCTCCATTCTTAGCATCACACTCGCATTCGCATGGCAAAAGGCTGTGAGGGTATGGCCTAAATTCACAGTCCATTTCATACTTTGGAGCTCTTTCGTCATGTCGTTGTCAGCTGGAATTCTCCTAATTTGCTTCCAAAAACCCCCCACCGATGGCGTTGGAGTCCTCTTTATCGCCTTTGCAATTGGCAATGGCTTGTACTCTTGTTGGGTCACGCCGCGGATTGGGTTTTGTTGCAAGATCCTGATTAAAGCGCTTGAACCAGTTTCAAAGTTCTCGGATTTGAATCAGCCCACTTATTGGATGCTTGGAATTGGTTTCTTGTGGATGTCTGTATGGATTTTAGCTGTAATTGGGTCAATAAATTTCTACTTCACACCACTGATCATAATAGTGTTAGTCTTGAGCTTGGCTTGGACCACTGAGGTCATGAGGAATGTTGCTAATATAACAGTTAGCAGAGTGATTGCTTTGTATTATCTCAGAGGAATGCAATCTGGTACTCAATTTTGCTTCCAAAGAGCCTTGTCTATAAATCTTGGAAGTGCTTGTCTTGGGTCCCTTTTTGTGCCTGCCATTGAAGCTCTGAGAATTGTAGCTCGAGGTTTGAATTTGATCGAGGGAGAAGATGAGTTCATGTTCTCTTGTGCACATTGCTGTCTCAAAGTCATGGAGTCCATCTTCAGATATGGCAATGGCTGGGCCTATGTACAGGTATTGTTACTCACAAACCATTACCACTTGCCAATATTATTTATTCCGCATTTCATACATAAAATGATACATTGTATATCTAGTACAGAAAATAGTTGCAGAATGTGACTTCTCCGTTCTTTCTTAGCAATTGTTCTTTGGAGAGTTCGATGAAAGTTGTAAGTTGTGTTGTGTTGTGAGGGATTTACTGTGTCTATAGTTGGCTTGTATGGTAGAATCAACGGGAGACCGGAGAGGCGGTGGTTTATTCTCTTCTGAGACCATACAACTCAATTTTTATTTAGGCAAGCATTTTGTGAGTAATTTAAAATATCATTTAATATTTTTAAAATGTTTGCAGAGTTATTCCTGAAGTTTCTTAATATATCTGTTATTATTCAGAGTTACTGTTTAAGATCAAGTTTCATATTATATATGTATATATAATGTTACTTTGAGATCCACTTGCAATGCTTGCCAAATCATTGTGCCACAATTGACTTATCTACTATTATTGAATGGAATTCGTCACCATGGTCCATCTACATCAATTCCAGCTATAGACTATGGTTTTGATTATATAATTTTTGTGACAGAATGAAGTATTCAAAAAACAATTGTTATATTTACAGATAGCAGCATATGGAAAAGATTTTGTGAAGGCATCACAAGACACTTGGGAGCTCTTTGAGGAGCGAGAAATGGAGCCCATTGTCGACACCGACATGACCAGCGCGATCTGCTTCCTCACCGGTGTCTGCAGTGGCTCCATCTGTGTTATTGTAGTTGCAGCTTGGACTGCCACCGTGCACGAGAAGTTCACCGCCACCATTTCACTCCTTTCCTTCTTCGTTGGTTACCTCATGGTTAGTGGACTTGACCCAACATTTAGGTCATGTGATCAATTTGGGATACATTTTTATCAATTTAAATCGTTTGATTAACGAATTCCTATCCCCTCCTGTGCATGAGATCGTCTACATCACGAAATGTAACAATATGAAAAACTATGTAACATAATTATTGCATAAGCAATGTAAAGACACATGGTGAAAACGGCACAGGAGAGGATTTGAGTTCTTGATTAACGTATTCTAATTGTGGCTCTAATGTTTCAGACTAGGATTGCCATGGCATTGCCTCATGCTTGTGTGAATTGCTACTATGTTTGCTACGCCGAGAATCCACAAAACAGGCTATTTGATAAAACAATAGCTGACCGTCTCACCATGTTGAATTCCGGTCGCGACGTGTATGTGCCGACGCCACATGTCCCTCGTCGATTTGCGAGATAGTTCAGAGCTCAGATGACCACAAATTGTGTCAAGTCTAACAAAATACGCATGTGTTACACATTGGTATGGTTTTAATTATGCCAGGGAGCTAAAGTTATGCACTAAAATGAGCACACTGAGTGGGACCAAAAAGGGTTAACCTAGACTGGACAGGACCAAAGCTGAATTTTCCACATGGTGGTGGAGATATGGTGATGATGGAAATTTTGAACATGAAAGTACTATTATACCACTATCGAGTGGATGGATGCTTTTGAAATTGGGAGGGATGAGGAGACCCCACTGAGATTCTTATCAACAAGGCTACAAGAACAAAGTGTCTTCTGGTCCTGCCCTATTGTGTATTGTATTTGGGAATACTTTTGGGATATTCGATTATAGCTAGTCCCACCATCATTTAATTATTATTATTTTAGTCTGGTAGAATCTATCATTATTTAATTACATTGTTTTTGTTTATGTAATCTTCATGTGAATCACCACCATGGGGAGATTTCATTAATTTATTTTTTCGACCTTTCACTTCTATTCTTTTTTTTTCTCGAAAAATTCAAACAAACTTGTACACAATTACGATATTGTCTTTAACAATGGGTCAATCACTCAATCTATCCTTTTAAAAGGAGAGATCATACTAGTTGAGCCTGTTTGGCTAATGTTTTTGCTTTTATGTTTTTGACATTTGCTGATGTATGTAATAAAGTAAAAGCACGAATCATGTTTGGTAACGTTTACTATCATTTGAATAGTATCGAAAAAAATCTTTCTAAATTAATATTTTTAACTAGCTATTCAAATTTTCAAACTTGTAGCGTTTTTTTTACCAAATATGCTTTCACGTTTTTGCTTCTGAAAATCTTGTAACAAATTTATGTTACCAATCAAGTTTCAAAATAGTGTTGAAGCATAAATATTGCTTCTGTTTTGAATCAAAACAAAAGTATAGAACAACTATAGTTGTCAAATGGGCCCTTAATATACTTTGATTCTACTCTGTTTAGATATGATTTTATAGTATTTTCTTCAAATAAAATTTTAGTCCTCATTAGACATCCCACCAAAGGAAGGTGCAACTCATGTTCTATAAAATAAATAAATAATCTAATTTCAAGGCTCCAACTCACCTCTCACAAAATTCTATTTGAATAAAACCCTATATGGGCTAATGAAAGTGATGAAATGTCCACTAACAGTTCAATAATGAAGATCACGAGACACTAGGATTTAAAATTTTTTTTTTTAATACATGTCATATTGGCGCTGATATGTGTGTTGAAATGCCTTTCGATAGTCTCTTTAAACGAAGACTTGGAGTTGAATCTTGAACTGTAGAGGAGGGGTCCAGTGGTCTAGCGTAGGCATTGGTCCAAAAATAACTTAGAGATGCTATCCAGTATCCACAAACACATTCGAAGGGAATGCCGATGTGTCTCACATTGAGACCCACCCACTTGATCAAAAGGGCTTAGATCCAATAAAATAGGTTACACCCTCAAGAAAGTTAAGTATTTTAATTGGCTTGACAGGACAGGTCGGGTCATTCAATAACTCTATAATTGACCAGTGGGACCCTCCACTTATCAAAAGACAGATAGAGTTGAAAATGACCTAAGAGAAGCGAGAGGTTTTTGTTGCTACCTTTTGGGTCACTCATTATCCAAATTACCCCCCATCAATTATTCCTTTAAAATGCAAAATCTTATAAAGTTGCAAACACTTCTGTTTGATTAAGTTATGTTTGCTAGTAGGGTCTACCTCAATTTGCTACTCATGGTTTGCAATCTAAAGGCCATTAGGCACAGTGATTTGAATAGTCATTGCAGTGTGACTGACTACTATTTATTAATTTCATATGAAAATTATTTTTGATGGATAGTGTGGAGCATGTCAGATACTGTATAGGCCCAACTTTGCGAAATTGAATTCCCGAAATTTTTTTTTTTTTTGACTGTGGATGGTTTCTCTGAGGAGAAAGGAAAAGCAAACAAAAGCTATTGAATCATACAGTTTAAAATCATCCCGTTTTATATATTTTGCACATTAAGCCTTTCGCTCAATGTTAGATGTGAAGTGCCAACCAACTTCAAAAAATTTCTTGAACCTTTTCCTTCCTTGTAATCTTTCCTTCGTATTTTTTTAGACAATTAAGAGTCTCAGCCCCTGATATATATAGGCAACAAAGAGACTAAACCCCTCATATATAGATTTAGAGAGAAACATAACACCGTAGTAGATGGTATAAACCAAAGTCACAAATTTTCTAAATTCGTTCGAATTTTCGTTCTCACCTCCACTTTATGTGACTTAAATTTTGTCCTTTTTGTGCTTCCACTCTCGTTCTATTTGTGTGATTGATTAAGTATAACCTGAGAGGTCCGTAAATTTTTCATCAACCTATTCGAGGTAGACTCACAACCAAAATACCAGCATAAGCAATTTAGCTTGTCGAGGCACACAAGTATGAAGGCGTGTTTACTTAAACATAGAATGTGACAGCATCTTCATGTAACTAGTTTGAAGTAGACACTGTTTTGGCAGAAGGCAAGCATTATCTTGGACCCTCGTTGCAACCTGTATTTTATAAACACTGGCCAGCAATTTCATTATCCCTTAGACCCATTAACCATTGTCAAGTCAAAAAAAAAAACAAAAAAAACCAAAAAACAAAAAAACAAAACAAAAAACAAAAATTAACAAACCAAAATTATAGTTTCTCAAAAAGAACCATGGGAGTGGGGAAAGACACAAGGAATGACAAGTTCCCATGGAAAACACCATCGGGTCACTGGCCTGGGAGGTATAACCTCTCCTTTCCATATATTGTAGGTGTGGGTTTGAGCCCATAGCGATCATTTTACCAAACTGGGGGGGCGGGGGAGGAAATATATATATATATATATATATATATATATATATATATATATTTCCCACAAAAACCAAAATGGCCTACCAGTTTGCTGGGTAATGGAAAACAACTATTCCTGCTGCTCAGAAGATTTCCCTGCAAAACTATATTAGCCAACCTTTTTTACGGATAATAGAAGAAATTTAGAATACCTGGGGAGGGCGGGGTGTAGAGTGAGTTGGCATTATCTGGATGATGGTAACCCCAGCAAGATTTTCACAATATTTCAATTTTGGCATGGTATGACTAATCTCTTCACAGCTTAGCATCTCATACTACTTCCATATTTTATCAACTTCAATAGATGACATTCACACTTACAATGAAAATAACATGCCATAGAGCATCTTCAAAATACTTGGATACAAACACCATTTTGCATCATATCAATCGCACATCATCAAAGAACCAAAATAATTCCAACTTGAGATTCAATTGCATAAATCAGGTTCTAATAGAGAAACTAAAAGGGTATCATACTTTACAATCAGTCACAGGACTCATAATTAACCAATTAGTGTGCCCTTGTAGATACTAAATGTAATGCCCGTGATATTTGCCTCGTATGAATATGGACAGTTCGGTGGAAAAGGCATTTAAGCATTTGAAATTAATTTAAATACTACAAATGTAACTGGGAGTTGTTAAGTGGGTAATGTGCCGAGATATTTCTCTAACATACTCAAGGTATCTTTAACAGATCACGATCTATTCTACATATATGATAGAATATACTTCTAAGGAATGTTGGATATTTCACTAAGAAAATATAGCCTTTTTATGTAGAATGAGAGAGTTTCTGGGAGAGAAGAAGAGGGAGTCCAGGCTATTAGCCTAATAAGGCAACTATTCTACTGCGTCTTGTTTTCAGATTGCAAATTGTATTAAATAGTATATTTGTTAACTGAGAGTGATTACAGTAAGGAGAGTTGAATTTGAAAAAGGATATCCCTGGAAAGAGTTTTAGCTTGAGAAAAGTTAACACGCAAGTAATTCTCTAGTTTACTTTAATCTCAATCGTATGGTATATTGAATGGAAAATGAAATTGGATTATAGTGGTTCGAAAATCTTATTGGTAAGTGGAATTTTTGTAGATATATTTCTGGAAAATAAAGTAGCATTAAGTTAGTACAAATATGTGTACCTCTGTTCCAAGTATTGAAATCATATAGATTGACTATGATTTCAATACTAGGTCTGTTCCTAGTATGACTTAAGAGCATGCGTTCTGAACTTTAAGGGTAGTTGGGAGGATCATTTGACTTTAGTTTAATTCGCATATAATAGTAGCTTTTAGGCCAGTATTGGAAAGGCTCCTTATGAGGCGCTATATGGTCGACCATGTCGTTCTCCTACTTGTTGGGCCGAAGTGGGGGACAACAACTTGTTGGGGCCAGAGCTGGTGCGTGAGACCATTGAGAAGGTGAAGATTATTCAAGACATGTTGCGTACAACCTAGAGTCGCCAGAACAGTTAAGCTGGCAGACGTAGGACAGCGTTAGAGTTTGATGTGGAAGATTATGTTTCTAAAAGGTCTCACCCATGAAAGGGGTTGTGAGATTTGGGGGAAGGAAATGAAAGCTTTCACCAAGATTTATTGGGACTTTTTGAGATGGAGGAGAAATACCAACATTCCATCTCCCATGTGGTTCGCTTCATCTTCTCCATGGTAACTCCATTGAACCTTCACCAATGTTATATCCTTGAGTAGTAAGTGCTCAATGTAACAAGGGGGAGGCTGGGGAGCTTGTCTCACATAGGATCCGGATGGGAGAGTGATTGCGTATATATGGGCTGGGTGTTAGCCCCACCTAAGAGCTTAGGCTTTTGGGTCAGATCACGAAGTACCCACTCGTTACAGTTGGTATCAGAGACAGACCCAATCCTTGATCCAGTGTCACGCCAAGCGCCCGGCCCGAAGGGTTTCTGGGTCTGCAGCCAGGGGTAGGCAGGGTGGCCTAAGTCGCAACGAGAGCGTTGCGAGTTCGGGTAGGGGAAAATGTAGCACGGGGGAACTTGTCCCGCATTGGATCCAGATGAGAGTGATGAGGTATAAATGGGTTGGGTGTTAGCCCCACCTAATAGCTTAGGCTTTTGGATCGGATCACAAAGCACCCACCCGTCCGATCAACAATACGTTCTGATACCTCAACATATGTAGTAACAGGTTGAACTTCCACACACTCAATAGCCTGAGTATCATCCTGTAAACACTTCCTCAGCATCGACGCATGAACACATCATGTACTGTTGCCAATTTTTTTTTTTGGTACTATGGAGTACAGACAATTTGTAAGCCCCCTCACCAATCCTCACTATGATATCAAAAGACCCAATAAATCTCTGTGAAAGCTTCCATTCCTTCCCCCAAATCTTACAACCCTTTCGTAGGTGAGACCTCCAAAAAGACACAATCTCCCATATCAAACTCCAACACTCTCTTATGTGCGTCCGCATGACTCTTCTAGCGACTCTGGGTTGTGCGCAATATCTCTTGGATAATCTTCACCTTTTCTTTAGTCTCACACACCAGAGCTGTTACGTACTAGGAACAGAGGCACACATCTTCAAACTAACTTCATGCTACTTTAGTTTCCAGGAATATATATCTACAGAATTTCTACAATAATCTAACTCCATTCGTACATACAATTAACCTAATACAATATACCATACAACTCAGACTATAATCCAACTCCATACGTACATACAATTAACCTAATACAATTAGCATCTCAGCAAATCATCTCAGCAAATCAGTCTACATTATCATCATCATCTCTACAAACCAGTCTATATTCTTCATTGTCTCATAACTCCATCAAAAGTAAGGAAAAAAAATGGGTATGAAGAAAAAGAACACGGTTGAGAGAGATGAAAACATGTCTCAAAGAAGGAGTTGTTGTTGGAGCAAATTTATCACATCAATCACCCGTAGATTAAGTGCTGACATTTGATCTGCGATTGAGAGGTCTCCTGTAATCATGGCGTTACCAAATACCAAGCTTACTGCCCTAACACTGGTCTTGGCTAGAGAGATGAGAGAGAGAATGTGAAAGAGTCGAATGCTGATCTATGATAACTTGGTAAAGTGATGGGTTGATAGTCTGATGCTTCAATTGCTAGATTGCGAATAAACATGGACACGTCATTATAAGGACATAGCAAAGAGATTACAAAGAGATAAGGTTAGCATTTGGCAATATGACAAGGTGACACGATTTTTTATTGATAAGGCTTCCAAATTTGATTTGTATATTATTAATTTTTATTTTTTTAAAATAAGTTTTGCATTTTAGTGATCTATATATTCATAAGAGTTTGCAATTTATGAATGTATACGAGCCTTATATGAGCTTGTGTTCACGAACACAACGAGCCTAAAACGAGCTCATGTTCACGAGCTTATATGAGTCAAGCTCAACACTGTTCGGGCTCGGCTCGTTTAGTAAATGAGCCTAGAAATTGAGCTCGAGCTCGGCTCGTTTGCTTAACGAACGAGCCTGAGCCGAGCCTGCGCTGTTGATGAGTTCATTTGCAGCCCTATACCAAACTGCCCATATACACACATGTAAGGCAAAAATCACGGATATTGCACTAAAATTTTGAGATTAGCTCATCATCGTCTCATTGGTCATTAAGTAAAAATCTCTTGACCAACTTTAAGTCTACAAATGCAGATCCTACAATGGACACATGGCAAAATCTTAAGGTTCATACTTTTCATGGAAAGTCTGATAAATCAAATTCAATTTTATTTCCAAATCAAAAGAGGCAAATCTCTTTTGATTTTGAAAATTTAAAACAATCATGGGAAGTTTCCAAATTAAACACTTCACTCTTTGGCCTATAAATACAAGGCCACTCAACACTTTCTGGGTGGACAAACACGGGCTAAGAGACAGTTGAAACTCTGGTAAATCTAACACTCAAAGTTCTGAAGACAGAGAACAACAAGCACACCACTCTTATGTCATTCTTCTTTTAAGACCTTCATAGACTAGCCCTTAATCGAAAATTCATTCTTCAAGATTCTTTAAGAGCTTGAATAACTTTCACAATTGGTTTAAGATCAAGCTCTTTGGAGCACTTGCACTGGGTATGACAAGGAGATCTAATCAGAGGAATATTCCTTGTTGTAAAAGAATCAAACACAGAGAATTGTACCAATTTATTTATTATTAATATGTCCACGTGTTCGGTTCTAGACTTTGGACATGAAATTTGTCCGAAAATCTAGGAACAAAAAATGATGAACAAATAATCAATTAAATTAATTTAAAAAAAATTGTACAATTCTTTGCGGTTGACTCTTTTACGAGCATGAATCTGCCTTTAATTCAATCTCCTTGATTTTCTTTTTATACGTAATAATGAAATAAAAAGGCATTCAAAAGGGGAACGCGTCCCTTAAACAATAGTGGAACCGGGGGCTAAGGCCCCAAAGAATCCTTCAATCTCCTTGATTTTCGGTGTGGAGGCTGCAAGGAGCTTAATCTTGAATCGGTTATGATGAGTTTTCTTCAGAGCTTCGAGATTGAAAAAGGCTTGACTGAATTTCCTATCAAGGGATGGTGCAGCTTAATCTCGAACGGTGGGTCAATGTTCGTATATGAAGAACGACACTTGTGGGGTGTGCTTCTTGTTCTTCATCTTCAGATTCTTCAAGTGTAGAAGGTATTCAAAGAAGAATGTCGTTCTTGTTCTTCTTTGTCTTTAGGAAAAAAAAAAAAAAAAAGTGTTGAAGTTCTTCAAAGAAGAATGGCATATGCATGACGTACTAGTTGTTCTTTGCTTTCAAAATTTCGAGGGCCAGATGAGTTAAAGGTTTGATAAAGCTTCAACAGTCTCTTAATCTCTCTGTTTGTGTTTCACTAAAAAGTGTTGAGAGCCTTGTATTTATAAGCCAGAGGGTGGAGTGTTTAATTTGGAAACTCCTCATGATTGCTCTAAATTTTCAAAATCGAGAGATTTTGAATTTGATTTATCACACTTTCCATGAAAAGATTGAACCTTGAGATTTTGCCATGTGTCCGTTGTGGAACCCGCATTTGTACTTTAACTTGATCAAGAGATTTTGACTTATTGACCAATCGGACGGTGATGGAAAAATGGATGGAAGGGAGAAGATGGATGAATGAGACATCCTTAGGGATGGGAAAGTGTCACCTTTCACTTTTTGTGTGGTTGAATGGAAGGATGGATGGGGGGTTACACCTTTTTTTTTAGTAAGGTGGGAAGGAAGGGAATATGAGTTTTTATATATTTTTTACCAATATATCCCAATTACACGTGTGTGAAAATTTAAGTAGTATTTAACAAGTGATTTTGCAAGTAATTAAAGGGTAAAATTGGTATCACATATTTATAGGGTAACTTTTCTTTCTTTCCATCCTCTCTTTCGCCCAATTTTGGATGAATAATTTTTTTTCTTCCAAAAACATAGGTTAGGAGGGATGCTTCATCCCTTCTTGTTTCTTCCCTCTCTTCCATTCCTTACAAACCAAACAAAGGAAACTTCTTCCATCCCTCCTCTTTTCCATTGTTTCCTCAATCCTTCCTTCCAACCAAACATAGAATTGGTGTCTATACACCTACTTACAAATTACAACAAGGTCTAAAAAAGTTATATTATCATCAATCATAAGACTCATAACTCACCAATAAGTGACCACGTGCTTACAAAGTACAATAGAATATAGAAGGGATTCTTCTATGAAAACTCCTGTACTACAATTGAATGAAAAATAACTCCAACCCCAGAAAATGGATGCTAAACTCTATCAATCCCTGGAAAGAAAAAAAAGATTTCAACTAATGAATGCCAGCAAAGCAGTGATAAACAAATTCCAGGAGTAGACCTCACCACAAATAGCTTTCTCCCCGACACTTTAACACAAAGTTCTCCTCCATATTTTGCAGGCTCCAAAATCTATTTCAATAAAAAAATTGGAGGAAATTGGCAGGCCTATATCAGCTGAGACTTTAAAATTCTTCTTGTTCTTCTTTTTTCCCATTTCAGAAGCTGATACAAAATTCCGAATTTACATAATTGATTTTTCATTTACAGTCATCCTTTATAAAACATATTCTTTTACAACTCCATAGATAGGCCCTGTCAAACTAATCCTTCAAGCATCAAGAATGCACTTCCAACCATAATGTAATACTTGGGAAATATCTCCAATTTGCACAGCACATAAGTTCTATAAAGGCAAAACTAACAAGAAGAGGAACACTCAAAGCTGAACACCCTTCTTACCCTTGGGGCTTCACAAATTTTATAGACTTGTTTTGCATGATTTTCAACAACTTGTATTTATTTTAAATTTGCATTCTTGAAGTTTCAGAACTGATATGAAATTTTGCACAAAGAGCACAGCTTTTTTAAAGTTATTTTCATTTTCTATGGGTAGGGTTCTTATAAATGGATAAATAAATAAATAAATTCTTTCACAAGGAAAGCCTTCAGCTTATTTTCTCAAAATACTTTGCCGAATGTTTTTTCTATTGTTTCAATTTAAAATATTTGCTTTTAGCAGGACGGTATCAACAGAAGTGAAGGATGACTTTGATGGGGCTTTGAGGTGGAAACAATGAGGGAACCCTCCTTTCAGCTTCTCATCTTGTATACAGATGCTATATGACTAAACCGATTTGAATACAGCAGACAAGTCAGGTCATCCCATACAAAATAAACTAATGGTTCACCTAAGCCGATACCCCGCCTCAATGTCATTTCCTGAATATTGCTAGAACCATTTCCACTACCTCTATAATTGATGAATACAAATCACCTAAATTACAGAAAGCATTCGTCCTGCTGCTTCTCCCAAACAGCCCTAATGGTTCCAAATAAAATTCCAATTATGTACACTTGATCTACCAGGCAGGAAGTATCACACCACTTCTTAAAATCTAAACCACCACAGTTTGTCTAGTCATAGAATCACAAATACATACAATCAACAAATATTTGGCCAAATGAAAGCTGTAAGAGGAAAATCACACATGATTTCAAAATCACAAAGCCATCCAACGCAAAACAAATAAATCACTAATTCATTCCAAAGAACTCAATTTAAGACACATAAAAAGCAAAAGCATGTCCATAAATTATTGGATACTAAACAGTAAGCACAAACATTCATCAAAATACCCAATTTCTACTTTGCTTCCACTTACTACTTATACAATACGAACAATAACAATCCCCAAAACACAATTTTAAGCCATAACCCCAATTCAAAACCCCAAATTACCTCTCACCATCACTCTGCGGAAGCCGGCCCTGGTTTCCCATCTCCGCTCTTCGCCTCACCCGAGCAACACCCACCACCATGGTGGTGATGATGATGATGGTGGTGGTGGTGCTGCTTACCCTTCAGCTGCTTCCTCATATCATACGCATCCTCACCATCCGCATAGTACTTCGCCTCCACATCATGAATCTTGTATCCCAAAGTCTCCGTATAGAGATTAAACGCCGCCCGATTGCTCTTCCTCACGTGCAGCGACACGTACTCGGCACCGAACACCTGCTCCATAGCGTTTTGTGCGGCGGTCATGAGCTTGGTGGCGAGACCGAGTTTGCGGTGGGTTCGGAGGACGGCGAGGGAGGTGATGTGGCCGTGACACTCGGAGCTCTCTTCCTCCATCTTGGCCAGCACGTAGCCGACGATCTTGCCGCCGTAGTCTTCGGCGACGTAGAGGAGCTGAGGCCACGATAGGATGTGATAGAAGTAGTATTTCATTTGGTAGTTCTCGGGGAGGCAGAAGAGGTTGCATGTCTGCATCGCCAAGAGGTCGTCTATGGTGGCCTTGCGTATGCACACCATGGTTGCTTGTGTTCTAGGGTTAGGGTTTGTCTCTGTGGTGGGGAGAGAGGGAGTGTGCGCGCGCGCGCTGTGGTGGTGTTGAGTCGATGGACTTGGCTCGGGCAATTGGACCTTTAGTGGGTTAAGAATCGGCGTATTGTGCTGCTCCGTCCTTGCTGAAAAATGGGATTACTTATTAAAGGGCGAAGCGAGAAAAATACTCTTCTGGCCATTTTTTATTTTTTTGTTTATAGCTCGTTTAGTTTGAAAAAAAATTGAGTAAAAAAGGATTTATGTTGTATATATATAAAGGAGAAGTGCAGAAAATATCTTTAAAATATATATTTAAAAAAATGTACAAAAAATACTCCTAATTTTTTTACATTGTACAAAAATACCCCCTCAGATATAAATTAGCCCGTTTTGCACTTTTACTCTTCAAAAAACGCGTATATATGTTATTAATCTCATAGTATAAGAGTGTTATGTGCACATTACCTTATATATATATATATATGGCTTACGTGTGCTTTACACCCCTATGATATCGATATAGTGCGTATAACCCCACATTGTTTGTTTACCTTTCATATACTTTAAAAGTGGTGCGAATTAGTGCATTTTGGGCGTTGATCGCTATTGACCGGTACCGGAGCTACAAAAAGACTAAAATAGCCCTCTATCTATGATTTAAAAAAACTAATAATATAACATAAAATGTGAAAAGACTAAAATAGTCCTCTATCAATACTCCATCTCTATTCTCGTTCTCGACTCTGATCTTACCCCCTCTCTCTGCAACTACAAACTACAAAACCATACAAAAATCAGAAGTTCAAAACCCATATATCTATGATTTTGAAGCAATTCAGCTTCAGGTTCGAAGGGGACGCCAGGGAAGTCACTCGGATGCAAATCCATACTCACAAGAAGAGGTTGATGCATGGACTGGTTTTTGTTGTTGTATTGGAAACATACTCCTGGGTATGTGAATCATCCTCGACAGAAAAAAAAAAAAAAAAAAAAAAAAAAAAGAGTCAAGATACGGTTTCTCACTCCTTTATCCATAGAATCGATTGAAATCTCCGATTCCCTCAGCAACATTGGAAGGGGCTTGCTTTTAGAAAGGTAGGGTTCTGCACAAGAATCAAAAGTTCAAAACCAATTAGGAAAAAAAAGTTCAAAGCCTATTACCTATCAAAACCTATATCGGTATATCATTTCAGAATGTTCAAAAAATCAGAACCCGTATCTTTCAGTTTCCATTTCAGATTGTTCAAAAAATCAAAACCCATATCTTTCAGTTTCCATCGCCCGCTGTTCCAGTTCGGGTTTGCCGTTTGCAAACTTCAGCCACTGTCTTACAACTCTCAAGCTTACCCCTCTCTCTCTCTGCAACTGCTAACTTGTATGTATGGGTTTTGTTTTAATTTTTTTTCTAAATCAACTAATCAAGGTCTATAATTCTTGTTTTGCAAACTAAATCCTATTTGGTGAAATTTTTTATGATCTTTTTTATATAATTTGTTTTAGGGCAAATCATTTCAGCCTCCCCAATCGCCTTTATCTCTATTCTCGTTCTCAACTCTGAACTTACCCTCTCTCTCTGTGTAATTGCAAACTACAAAATTTACAAGAATCAGAAGTTCAAAACCCATATATATACTATATACAAATATTTACAAATTGTGATACCCCCGAATTTCCGAATGCGGGTTGGCCAAGCCCACGCCCAAATACCCGAGGATATCAAAACAAATTGATAATAAACGAACACAGAGTACAAAAGAATAAAGAAGAATAAATAAAATACTGACAAGAAACTAAAATGATAATCTAATAATAAACCTCATAATATATTTCCATTAATTAATAAACTCTTTTGATACAACTGATCCTCCAAAATACAACTCGGGAATCCATACTATGTGAACCCCTAGAAAATTCAAACTAAACAAATGACAGTAATCTGAAACAGGAAACTGAATCATAAAGGAACTCCTATGTAGCATCGGCAGAATGAAGTAGACTGATCCCCGCCCAGCACGAACAACCTCTACTCGTGCCGAACACCTGAAAAATAATGGTGGGTCAGGCCCACAAACAAGTTCTACTCTACTACAATCCAAGCAAAGATCCGATACACGTATACATCCTAGTCAATCCAACAGTAACTAGTAGTCCGTATATATATATATATACACACTAAAAGAACCTCACTAGACTATAGGGTTGTCTCAACCTGAATAGTAGGCAACATGCAAAACGCACATATAGTAGGCATGAGTACCTAGACCTACTAGGGTACACAACTACACTATATCTAGCTACACATCCCTGGCGATATACGCGCCCTAACCATTGATCCTGAGACTCAAGCTCATATCATGGCACCATACTTATATATATATAATCTAGTAACCATCCTATCCAGTATAAATTAATCCTTCATAAGTCATTCAACTTGTTCAGCTGACCTGACTTGAATATAAGTAGGACTTAACATTTTAGTTAATACATTCCCTTTTATAATAAATTAATCCTCCATAAGTCATTCAACTTGTTCAGCTGACTTGACTTAAATATAAGTAGGACTTAACATTTTAGTTAATCCATTCCCTTATATAATAAATTAATCCTCCATAAGTCATTCAACTTGTTTAGCTGACCTGACTTAAATATAAGTAGGACTTAACATTTTAGTTAATCCATTCCCTTATATAAAATAGGTAGGACTTAACTGATAAGTTAATCCATCCCTAGAATGCCACCGTCCCATACCGGTGCATTAAACCACACAATCCAACAATTGATGTAACAATTAAGGAAATACATCAAACATTCCATAAATAACTATGATAAATATGATATCAAGTTATCACATAATAGGAATGACTTATTATTTCTTTAAACTTCCTATATCATATGTCATACACAAACTGAATCTTATACATGATGATATTTTATTATACCGTTAAATAAGGATTCTCTATATCCAATTCATCCTACACATTTAATCTCAATTGCTAAAATATTTTAAAAGATTAAATCCATTCGTTTGTTTAAAACATTCAAATAGCAAGCATCATTATGATTAAGTCTATTTAAATTTATTAAAACCCAAACCTAGTCCCTATTTAATGTTCAGGAATCCTAGGCATGTTTCTACGTTCCATCATTCCACAAATATGAAAAATACATAATTTAAACATGTAAAAATTCACATAAGAAATCAAATCAAAATCATGCATTTTATCAATTCATAACACAAGAACAGATATGAACCAATTCCATAAAATCTATGTTCTAACCCAATTAAACATGCATAATTATTTAATTTTATGTGTTTAATAAATTCTGGAATTTCCTAGGCATGTATAGAAACACGAATCAAAGGGAAAGAGATAGAAGAAGAACTTGCCTTAAACTTTCGGATCGAAAGTTAAACTTCTTCTTCCTTGATCTTCTCTCTATAGGGTTTTTCTCCTCATTCCTTCCTTTTCCTCCTTCCCTCTCTAACATTATCTCTCCAGTATATATCACGTGAATATTTCTAACCCCCTTTTTCAACCTATAGCTATATATTTATAGGCTAAATAAAATAACCCTAACCCTTTTCCCAATCCAAGTCAACTAAAAAAAATGAAAATAAAAATATTAAAAAGGTAAGCAAAATATGTTACGTATATAATTTATATATATATTTATTAAATAAATAAATTATACACATTCCATTATTTATTAATGGATTATCCAATAATATTTAAGTTACCATAATATTATAAAGTAACTTAAAACATAACACGTATCAAATCTGTGTATATTATTATTATTTAAATAAACATATACATCAGATTAAATATTACTACCCAAATTACCATAAAAGTAATTAATAAATTACTTTCTCTTTTATATATATATTAAAACGGTAAGTAAAATATGTTACGTATATAATTTATGTATATGTTTATTAAATAAATAAATTATACACATTCCATTATTTATTAATGGATTATCCAATAATACTTAAGTTACCATAATATTATAAAGTAACTTAAAACATAACACGTATCAAATCTATGTATATTTTTATTATTTAAATATAAAACATATACATCAGATTAAATATTACTACCCAAGTTACCATAAAAATAATTAATAAATTACTTTCCTTTTTATATATGTATATAATATATATCTATATATATACATACATTATCCATGGGTAATAATCCATATATATCCAACCTCCTATCCAAGTAGTCTATGGGACTCAATTAGTTGGCCCATTACTACTAACCATAACCATAAAAGAAAAATAAAATAAAATAATAAAAGAAAAGAAAACATTTAATTTACAATTAATCAAAACACCATTTAAGCACATAATCTAATTAAACAATTAACACATAGACAAATACAAATAATACATAGACACATAATCAAATAATCAAGTAATACCTAATTCAATTAAACACATAAGCAATTAGTCAAATAATTAATTAAATAATTAAAAAATACAATTAAAACAAATAAATAAATACCGAGACTATTCTTTTAAAATTAGGGGTATTACACAAATATATATATATAGTGAGGGGTAGTAAAGAAATATTAAAAGGACAATTCCGGAATAAAGGGTTTAAAATAGTCAAGTGCCATGCACATGACCAATTGGCGTCCAATTCTCACCGGAATAGTAACTGGAGGTGGCTTAATTGTACATTTTTATATTTAGTAGGGATTTATATAAATAAATCTAATTAAAAGGGTGTAAGTCGCACAAATTTAAAACCACATGGGTGTTTTTCAAACTTTCCCCTATATATATATATATATTGAAACTTTTTTCTCTATATATATTTCTAAACAATTTTTTTTAAAATTTTTTGAGAATTTGCAGAATAAGGATTTGAAATTTTTGAGATTTCAGTTTATTCTTTTCTACTAAATATTTTTTCTTTAATTTGTTTTTTTTTTTTTTGATACCAAATTTGTTATAAAAAAAAATTCCCAATATCAGTGTGCCCTGGTTTTCGGAATTTAAAAAAAATTATTTTCTTTAGTTTGCACTTTATTTTTATTTTTATCTTTACTTTTCTTTTATATTTTTATCTTTACTTGTCCATTGCTGACATCCTCCAATAGTGTCATTTTATAAAATTATTTATTTTTATATATTTTATAAAATGTTTCAATAAGGGTAAT